GAATGTGGCGGGGGGGGGGGCGTTGAGGACAGCAGACATTACGCCCAATTGCTATGGTTACCTGCTCAATCCTGCACGGATCTCCACTGATTTCAGGGACAAAGTACAAAGGCAGTATAACCTGTGATTCACTGACAAGTATCATTATGTACACCAGGGGTAGTCAACCTTTTTATACCTGCCGCCCACTAATGCATCTTTCTTGATGGTAAAATTTCCTTACCGCCCACCAGTGCTCGATGGATTCAGCTTCTGCCGTAGAACCCCCTACCGCCCACCTGGAATCCTGAAACGCTCACTAGTGGGTTGACAACCGCTGGAGTACACCATGGGAGTGGAGATTTACATGTACCAACCAGGCAGGTGTGCTTTTCATGTCAGAAAAGCAATTTATTTCAGGTACTGTGCTGCTTTGTTTTGTTTTGTTTGTTTGTTTGCTTTGCTTTGCTTTGCTTTGCTTTGCTTTGCTTTGCTTTGCTTTGCTTAGCCCTAAAAGTTCAGGATGAGTCCTGCCAAGGGCTTTTTGAGATGCCAAACAAAGCACTTGCAACCATATTTGCCAATAGCAGCATTAGCTGTGTGTGCAAACAATTGTTCTACATCTCCTATTCTCATCTAATAGGGACAGTATGTGAGAATAGGGTTGCCAGCTCTGGGCCTGAGCTTTATCAGCAACTGAATCTCTATTTGTTTGCTTATAAGTCACTTAGTGTTGCCCTGAACAAGATAAAGTGACTAACAAATTTAACAAAAATAAAAAATAATAGCAATATGATGCTTCCCTCCATGCAGTGAAAAGCTTCACCAGCTGACTTTGAGGAAGCCCTGGAGTAAAGAATATTGAAATTAACTGGAGGATTGTGCAATTCTTGTTAAGTGATTCAGTTTGTGTCCTGTAGCACAGGATGTCCTCAGCCTTATCTCACTTGCAGAGCCATAAAATAAATTGTTATTGGCTGTTACTGTCTCCCGCACCTAGACTTGTGTTTATAGCAAATTATGTACTAGTTCTCCTTCCTCACAGTTCACTTAAGGCAGGGATATTTCAACAACAGAGTTTTAAACTAGTGACAAAGTGGTGGGTTTTCTAGATTAGAACATGCGTCACTCTTCACTCTCAGTTAAAAAGATAAGAGTGCTATCCAGTTAAATAATATTGAATTTGAGCCCAAGGATTTTGATGGGTCTATTCCAAGTATTATTTGATTGACTATCACCCTACGTGTAGATCTATTTCTTTTTTAACAGTTCCCTGAACAAAGGGCAAACAATCCCTTCTTGCAGGATAGCTCAGGTAAGAGTTGGTCATCAGGGATGCTTTTTGGGGCAATGCAGGTTGCACCCGATGCATCAGTACACTCAAGATGCCATCATTGCCCTGTACAGTAGCAGACAGAGACCATCAAGTTCATCATGTGATGACAGCTTCTGATTGATCAGCTTGACTTTTTGCATAAGAAGCTATTTTTTCAGATGCTTCTGCTTCTCCTAACACATACTCAGTGCTGGATTTATGTATAGCCTAAGTAGGCTAAAGCCTAGGGCCTCTAAATCTAGGGGGCCTTGCCAGCCCTCCCGCTGCCCAGCAGGCGGTCTCCCCTCTCCCAAAATTGCAAACCCAAGACTTTATGCGAGGGCAGGGCAACTCAGGCCTCTAAATCTAAGGGGCCTCACCAGCCTGCCTGCTCCCCAGTGCCGCAGTCTCCCCTCTCCCAAAATTGTAAACCCAAGACTTCATGCAAGGGCAGGGCAACTCAGGCCCAGCAACTATTAGACTCAGGGCTAGCCAGTGGGGTCCAATTTGAAGCAGTGGGGCGCAACTTGATTTATTTTTTTGTAGGGCCCTAGTTCACAGCCAAAGGCTGCAAAATCTTATAGATATAAATAAAATCCATCTAGATTGCCCTGGTGCAGGGGCCCCCTTAGGAGCGGCCAGTGGGGCCCAATTTGGCCCAATTGCTTTAAGGTCAGCCCTGATGAGACTGTGCAGGGGTTGGACTGACAAGCCCTGCATCTTTTAGGTCCCTGGTGTCACCATTCAGAGTACAGGCTCAAGGACTTGTTATGGAAATAAAGGCGGGGCACTTATTGGAAATCAGTTTTGTCACCTCTTCCCCCCCAAACCCCGAGACAATGAGCCCAGCCACCTTTTATTCACAGTTGCATTAGCACTACACTAAAGCATGGCCATAAACCTGTACGTTCAACCACTGAAATATACACCCAGTATGTAGCAATGGAGATTTATGTTACTACTTTATGAATGAATACTATGTTTTATGAGTGGACTGTATTTTGTGAATTACCTAAGAGCCACCAATAGGGAGCTCTAGAATCTGACAGCTAACCAATTGGGTACTACCAAACAGCGACCCCTATTGCTGAAAGCAGGTAGCCAGCAGGGGATGCTTCAGCTCAGCCTTTGCACTGTTGACTGAACACCCCCTGCTGTGCAGATAATGGAGAAAGCTTGTAAATTGTATCCCTTCTGGCATCCTGGCCAACTCTATTACGCTGGTGTAAACCCTGGTGCACCAGAAGCACAGAATAGCAGCAAATAAAATCCGCTCATATGTCAGCAACTGATAAGACTTGTCAACCAGTTCCTCCAAAGTCTTCCTAAATTATAAAGCTCCAAAATGCAGCCAGTAGAGAACTGGTCTGGGAAGAGCGAGGCATACAATGGGCACCACCAGTGAAAAGGCCCTGCTCCGTATAACTCATTTGATAGAGCACCCACTTGCCCTCCTTCTTGACATGGAATGCTCTCTATTAGAGTCTCCAGGTCCAGTACAAAGACCATAAGAAGGGAGAGCAGGCACCTTTAAGTTCCCAACAGCTGTTAATCAAGCAAGCAAGCAAGCACACAGGTCACCTTTGTCACAGTCAGGATGCCTATGTCCTGGCCAGGCCTGCACCCAACCTTGTTTTTGTACAATCTTGTTTGTCCTCAGTAACCAAAATTATATTATCAACATATACAAGGAGTAAAGTTGTATTCCTTCATTCGCAATGAATCTTACAAAACAAAGTGGCACTAATAAAGAAAAGTTCCAGGGTGGCAACAGAAAGCAAACTAAAAATGCTTTTGCAGTTCATCAAAACTATCCAGCAATATCAAGTTATAGGAAAACTGGTGCTATTAACAGTAATCCTTCTAGCTGGTTAATTGGTTTGGCGACTTCCATGCACATGACCTCTGATGCTAATTATTTCCCCCAAGAGTTAAATGATAACTAATCAGAGGCAGCTACAGGGAGAGCTATGAGATTCAGGTGAGGGTCAGATGCCTTGTCAATCCCAGCAGGTATATAAGAGGCCTGCCCACAAAACGTTTACAAAGTTCAGTTATTGCAAAAGTTTTTCAGTGTTAATTTTATGCATTTTTTAAAATCACCATGGTATTTAACAATAATATCTTATGTCCTTTAGAGGAGAAATTGTGAATTGTAGAATTTTAAATACCCGTCATCATCCTTGGCTTCACTCAATTTTGTTTATAACAAACTTCCATTTTCTTGTGGAGTAGCCTAGGGCCTCTCTTCATCTAAATCCGGCCCTGCACATACTGCACAAGGAACCAGACAAGTTGCATCTGAGCTGTCCCAAGGTGGAAGTAAATATCTAGGCATAGATAAGCATACCTAACTTGAGACGGACGAAAATACACAAAATGACACTCAATAAAGATCAATATGCAAGGTTAAGAAGTGCAGGTTTAAAGCATAGGAGAGCAGATTGTTGAAAATCAGGGATGTGGAACCCGTGGACCACCTGATGTTGTTGGACAATAACTCCCATCATCCCTAGCTAGCAGAACCAGTGGCCAGGGATGATGGGAAATGTATTCCAAAAACAGCTGGAGACCCAAGTTTGGGAAACCTTGGACTACACCATCCCTGACCACTGGTCATAGATTATGGGTTTTGTAGTCCATCAGCATCTGGAAGGCCACAGGTTCCTCATACAGTGGTACCTCGGGTTAAGTACTTAATTCATTCCGGAGGTCTGTACTTAACCTGAAACAGTTCTTAACCTGAAGCACCACTTTAGCTAATGGGGCCTCCTGCTGCCGCCGGAGCACAATTTCTGTTCTCATCCTGAAGCAAAGTTCTTAACCTGAAGCACTATTTCTGGGTTAGCAGAGTCTGTAACCTGAAGCGTATGTAACCCGAGGTACCACTGTACTTGCTGAGTAATGCAGGAGAGCATGTCAGGGATAGCCCCCCCCCCATCCTTCTGAAATAAAGTGTGGTAACTGATTGGATGGTGATAATAAAAAAGAATAATAGAGTTGCAGATTTTGGAAGGGTCCCCAGCGGACAGTCCAACCACCTGCAATGCAGGACTCTCAACACAGAATCATACCATTGTGGAAGCGGGAGGTACAAGGCAAAGCCTTCCTTCCTTTGCATCTGGTCATTGCACGCCATGCCCGGGCCGACTGTGAATCGAAGCTCAGAATGCTAAAAGAACAGGATGCTGCTAAGCATACACAGAGTGCTTTCCTCTTGGTATAACCCAGCTTCTGGTTTAGGAGGCAGCGCTTCCTAAATCAGAGGATGAAGGAGCTTGAACAGAGGCGCCTCTGATTTGACAATTCAGCGAAGGACCATGGGGCTTCTGTCAGGCGACCCCCTACCAGTGAATCGGGGATGGGGGGAGGGGCGGACTGTGATCCTCCACTGGACTACAACTCCCGTCAACCATCGCGGCTGATGGGAGCTGGAGTCCACAGGTTGTCCCATCCCCTGCGGCAGACACCTCAAGCAGACCTCCTCGGAAACACTTTAGAAAGCGAGGGGGAGCCGGGAATGTATGGGCTGCCCTCCGCCGTCCCTTAAAGGAGCCTTTCCCTCATCACCTGCTTTTCTAGCCCCTCACCTTTGCCTCTCTTTCCTGCCCCTACCAAGATGGCGGCGGCAGGCGCGCAAACACGGAGCGCCGGCAATGCGCGTGCGCGAAGCCATCAACGGAAGTGATTGCCCTGTGCGTCTGCACCGGGTTCCGACGCTTCCGCTTCCGGGGTGGCGGCGGCGGGCGGCTGTGGAGGCCGGGAGGGCTCGGCGGCCGGAGGTGCCTGGGCGCGAACTTGCCTCCCCGGGAGAAGCGGGAGCCGGAACGGCGGGAGTGGAGCTTCAGGTGCGGCCTTGGGGGGCTCCGTGAGGAGAGTTAGGGGGCGGAGGGGGGCGCGGGCGCGAGGCTGGCCCCGCGCGACGGAGCCGCCGGCGGGACCCCCTGCAAGGAGCCCGTTCGTGGCGAGCCGGTTCTCCCTCCTGTTCCCGGGCACGCGCGACCCGCGTGCGCGGCTGCTGTGGCGCTTGCACGGTTTTTTGTGTTTTGTTTTGCGCACGACCTTCTCGCTCGCTGGGTTCCCCGCTGCGCACCTGCCCGCACCCCGTTAGTGCCCGGAACTCCTCGTGCACTTATATTTTTATTTTTTTGCAATAAGGAGAAGGGATTTTTTGGGGGGTGGGGAGGCTGTTGTCCCTTAAAACTGATGGCCGAGCAACGGCTCAGGAGGCCGCTGCTTTTGGATTTTTGCATCTGCCACAAGAGCGCAGGACATCTCGTGCAGGAGGCGGGTAATAACGCTGACACACGTGTGCACACTCGCGCTTCTTAAGCACCTCGTCAATAGGAAGTGATATTGTTCCCCGTGTTCATATCCCAGGCTTCATCCAAGCAAGGGGGGGGGGAGTTGTGCAGAGGTAGAATTCACCCCTACTTCCTTAATTCACATAACCTGGTGAGGCATCAGAGGTTGTCAAGGCTAGGGCTGCTTCATCAATGTTAGATTTCTACGTGGGAGTAGAATTTCCATGCAGGAATTAATATGAGGATTAGAACATGGGATGCCATGTGCTGGGTTTTAGTGGGTGTGTAAAGGAGTCGGGCTTGTCACAGAAAGAGCCATATGTGTGACAGGTTGCTCTCCTTTATGTTTGAAATGGCTTCCCAGGACTTCTTTCCTCTCAAATTGTGATGCCCACTTTTGCCACAGAGTTCTTGTCTGATTTTGTAGTGCCAAATGCCAAACACAGCAACTTCTAAATATTTTTAATTATCTTTGCAGATACTTGTTCCTTGTCCCTCCGTTTTCTCTCATTCTTCTTCATTTCCTTTCCCTTACCTCCTGAAATTTGCAACAGAATTTAGGTTAGGGCAATTTTGCTTATGACACCAAACAGTATGCATGTTGGTGGTGATGTGTAAGTTAAAATTTTTGAACATTATAATCTTTATGCACGTTTTATATTAATCCTTCCTCAGCAACAGAACACTTAAGGAGTTCTTGCACAGAACTATAAAGGGTATTACTTAATGTTGTTTAAGGATCTCAACAACTTGCAGCTAAGCATAAACACACAGCTGGTCTAATAACATAAAAGCAATTGCCCTTTTACATAAAGATTTAAGAACCTTTCCAATAAAATAGTTTGCTGGTAGTATTAGCCTATACCTGGGGCTACTGGGGCCCTCAAACTTTTTATGTTGTTCCCACTCTGAACCAGTGCTAGAAACAGATATGAAAGCTAGGAGCTAAATGACACCTTAAACCTAGGTTATGGGCGCAGCAACAGAATGTCTAGGCATGCTTTTTAATAGCAAAAATACAAAGCTGAGAATGAATAAACTGCCTCGAAAATATTACAGTATGTTCATTTTTCACATGGTCTAGTCCTTCCCCTGCCCGCCTGCCCCTTATATTCTTAAGAGGGTCTTTTCTCCAGTCTTCAGGGAGTAGCTGGAAGTGGGGAGGCAGAAAAAAAGTCCTCCTTTCCTTCCACGCTGCAGTTGCCCAGAGCTCAGAAACTGCCGGCCATAATGAGATTCCCTGTCGCAAAATGCACCTAGAACAAGGGGAGTTTTGAATAGTGCCCTGAACAAATGCATAGGAAGACAAGCTCCCATAAAGAATGCTGTCCAAACGACGTGAGATTTTTAAGTTGAGGGCAGAGGGATTTCTGGACATAAGGTGCTAGTCATCCACACTATGGAAGAGCAAAGGAAGAGGTAGGTCTCAAGCTGGTACTAGAAGGTAGTGATTTATTTTGTGAAGGTTGCTCAATACTTCACAACCATAGGTCCTCCTCAGGGAGAAAAGTGTCTTCAATCTATCCTGTTCCACAGTAAAAATATCCTCAATGTACACGGAAGTACCTTTGGTTGAAATGCGTTAGGCATTTTTCACAAAGCAAATTACTACCTTCTAGAACTAACTTGTGTTTCACCTTGCCCTTTGCTCTTCAGGTTATTGTGGTATCATTTTCTCTCAGCACACGATGTATATTTGCCATCTTGTGTGCTGCTAGTATTTATTTCTCTGTGTAAAACATTGTAGATAGTTATTTGGTTACTTAATGTAGGCATGGATAGCCATTCAGTGTCATAGGTGCACACCTACGGTAATGCTAACTTACCCAGTTACAGTGGAACCTCGGTTTTCGAACATAATCCGTTCCAGAAGCCCGTTTGACTTACAAAACGTTCGAAAACCGAAGCCATTCAGTTTCCGAGGCGCTTTCGAAAATGGAAGCATTCACTTCTGTGTTTTCAGCGATCAGCTTCCGAATTGTTTGGCAGCCGAGACGTTCGAAAACCGAGGTTTGACTGTACTCTAGATTCACCCTTGTATGTCAAGTATTAAATGTTTCAGCTGTTTTGTTACGTTTAAGAGTAGTGCTTTGTAGGATTATTTTAAAATTTTATTTCTTATTATGCTTTGACAATTATAATTCTGTGTGCACCAGTATTTAGGAATTTTGAGACCACAGAGAAAGCTGAAGAGATTAGCTGGATTTGGATGCTATGGTGATTTCATATGTTGGATGGCAGTGGATACTTGTCCTGTAAATGAACTGCTTCACTGTGAATCACTGAACATTGGAATTTGATCCAGGCATCCATTGCTTATAGGGGAATGTATATAATGTGCTCACACATGATTTCTGAAGATGTCCCTATATAAAGATTGCTCAGTCAAACAAGTGAACACTTGACTGCAAAAAGTAACATGTGGATCTGCCCTCGCTTTGCAGGCCTGGACAATTGCTTAACTGCTGTAGATCAGTATCTTGCTGTGCAAGGTTGTTGTTTTTTTATGTGAATAGGTTTAGGTGCAAAGGCTCTTATAGTAGTGTTGTGTTGTGTATCAAGATGTTGCAGTAGTGTAGCAAATTTCCCCAGCTGTTGGCACCAGCACAACAGTTCAAGACACCACACAAGGTTTTTTGCATGAATGAGATGTGAATTGAAAGTGGTTACGTCGTTTGAAAGTGGGGTTGACAAGAGGAAGCGGAAATTTATTTATACCATTTGTGGTACAGGAAAATGAAACACCATACACCATTGTAATCATATATTGTTTAATAACAACAACACCCCACCCATCTGGGTGGCTTACAGCACATATAAAAGCATAACAAATAGTCAAAAATTAAAAACTTCCTGCCATAATATTGCAAGAGTTGCACCCGGTGCTAGTCCTACACAAAGTAAACACATTGAGGTTAATAGCCATGACTAACTTAGTTGCATTAATTTTAGTGGGTCTACTCTGTGTAGGACTAGCATTGGCTACAACCCTAAATCCAAAACAAGATTGCCAACCGAGGCCTGCAATTTGTACAAGCCAGAGAATACTAGCAAGGAACATCATTTTTTTTATCAACCTTTTAAAACAACAGTAGTTTACTCCCAGCAGTAAAGTTTTTCAGTTCTGTACTGTTCGTGCTGTTCTTTTCCACTTCGTTCCCATGCTGAGAGCTAAAGTAGTGTCACAGCCCTTTTAATGAGCAAAGGGTTGCGGGAAGAAGCGTTCTGGGGGACACTCTCCAACTATTTCTACTCAAGAGGATAGAAGTGGTTAAACTCTATTCACCCTAGCTCCCTTAAACCTTCCAAGGTCAAACACTACTAAACCACTACTGGCCATGTGTGAATCGTCTGATGTTAGGAGTACACCCAGTAGTTAAACCAGTGGTGAACTGTCTGTGAACACACCCTATCAAGTTTTCCCTGCTACAAATGCTGATGCAGCAACAGCCATTTTTTGCAGGTATCCATAGAATGTGACTGCCTGAAATTCTCGCTTAGGTGTAGGGAGGGTGCTTTACTTTTAACCTGCCTGCCTTCCCCAACAATCTCACGTCTTAAGATATTCAGATGAGGCCTTGCTTTGCTTTAACTGATTGGTAGATGTTCAGAAGAAGGCTGGTGGGCCTCCAGCCTTTTCCATAATGGCATCCCTGTCTCTGTGTCTCCCTGTCAAAAGAAGCCGCCTAGCAAACTCCCTCCTGATCATTAGATGATCAGCCATATCTTTGTTGCAGAGGAAGGCTGACGGCTCGCTGAGAGCGAGGAAGACTGGTTTCTTGGGCATATTTTGTGTGATGGATTTTACCTGTGCTTGCTTAATAGGTACTGTTTATCTTTTGTATGTGTGTCTGTTGTTGCATGGTAATATTGAGTCATGCATATTTTTTTTGCTTGCTTCAAAGCATCTTTGATCAATGTGTTTATCTCTGTCTCTCTCTCTCTCTCCATTCTGAAATAAATAAATGGTTCAATAAACCTATCTTCTGGATTAACCCACAGGTTGAAATTAGAGGAGGAGAAGCAGCAATACTGTGGCAGCTGTGCTAGGAGGACCTTGGCTTCCTATCCCCATCCTGAAGGGAGATTTAGGTTTGGGGTGACTCATCCACAAGAACAGCACAGCCTGTAGCTTTCATCAGCTTTTGACAGGGCTGGGGAAATTTTCTGTGCGCAAATTCTGGGCACTCCCGACTCCAGAAAGATGTCGTCAAAGTGGAAGGTATTGGACGGGACCAACGCAGAAACAATTTACTGAAAAATCTTTAGTCGTAAAATTCTTTCCTGGGCAAGAGAGAGAGAGAAAAGCATAAGGACTTGGCGTAAATCTACGTATTGAGGACTGTCAGACTAACGCGATGGCTCAGGTAACAGGCCGGTTTTCCCATCCTGTCCCAACAGGAATTCATCATTACAGCAGGTGGCTGCAAAGTGCCCTCGGTGATAATCCGTTCTCCGAAACCTAAAAGCAGCTGAGCTCTCAGTGGTCTGCTCCAGTGACTAGCATGCATTCCCAAGCCTTCAGTGCTGGACCCTCCCTAGTCAAGGTGCTTAGTGGCCAGGCCATCCTGGTCCTTTCCTCTCAGCTGTGCTTGGGGTGTGGATCAGGAGAGAAGTGGCTTCCTCTTTTGTCCAGCTTCAGTGAGGGCTTTGAGCCTTATATAACATTTGAAGGGGGTGGGGAGAGGAGAGGATGTGGAGGCGATTCTGCAAAGGCTGCTTAGGAGTTCTTTTTGCCCTCACCTTGCCCTATCCAGTATTCCAAGCGTGGCGGGGCACTGGCGTGGCACAGGGGGAGGCGTGGGAGCTGGTTGTCGTGCCACGTTACTGTGCAGAGGCTTCTTTAGGCCACCTACAGTGGATCCTCAGTTGTAAGAGCAACAGGAGGTTTCATGCATAGTCACCTGAACTGTGATGTTCAGAAGCAGGATCGGTGCTCACTGAAACTGCTTGGCCTCTGTCTTAGCTCATATGAAGGAAATTGCTACACATACACACGCACACACACACCAGCAAGCTGTCGAGCATTGATTTTAAAAGGACCAAGTAAAGGTGAGCTCACAAGGAGCCTTGAAAGCGTGCAGATACACATGTATGGTTTCTTTACTATTTTTCAATCCCTCCCCATACCTTGGGAGTTTGATTTCCAACAACCACCCTGTGTATAGCCTTGAGAGAGTGTCCGCCTTAAGGTCGCCCCTAGAGCTTCATGACTGAGCAGGGATTAGAAATTTGGAATGCCTGGTTCTTGTACAACACTCTGTTTGCTATGCTACACTGCCTTGTTCTCCCATTTTGGGCTAGCTACCATGAATTCTAATCTAGTGTCAACAGGTTTACTTCTGCAAATTTGGTTGAATAATTAGATTTCCCCCTTTTCCCACGCTCACCCACCCCATCAACTATCTCTATGTCCTAGAATCCCACAGCTCTAAGGAAGAGGGTGCTATAAAAGTCTTATCAGGGCCACCCAACTTTTCATACTGAGTGGGGATGCAAGAGTACTTTGACACGGAACTCGCAGGCCTCATGATACCATGTCGGGGGGGGGGAGGAGCAAGCCCAAAATTTGACACCCATCCCCAGCCCTCACTCGGCCTTCCCAAAACTTTACTACTAAGCAAGGCGGTGGACTTTGGGAAGTTGGGCCAAGACTCTAGCAGGAGCCCTTTTGCCTCCTTCTGGAAGCTGGGAAAGTGCTAACTAGGCTGGAGGAAGGAGGACTGTAGGACCCTGTCAGAGCCCTCATGTCTCCTTCCCAAAGCTCAGTACCTCATTTACATGGCATGGGGAAGGCAGTGCAAGGGCTGGAGGTGGAGTCAAATGTTACTGGGGGCCACCAAAACAGGCATCGAGGGCCACACGTGGTTTTGATGCGATACTGACTGATAAAATGTCCTTGGAAGTTCATCAGGCTCAGGTCTCATCCTTGTGATATCCTGGAGATGCAGTGTTTCCACCATTTCCGGCCACTTCCCTATGCACATTTTAAATATGAAATAAGGAAACGTGGGCGAGAAGCAGCACTTAAATCGTGGGTGGGGGACCTGTTGGACTCCAGCTCCCCTTAACCCCAGCCAGCATGGTCTGTAGTCCTGGATGGGAGCTGTAATCCAGCCACTCCTGGAGAACCACACATTCCACATTCCTGCCCTGAGTCTGCCTCTTAGGCTTGGAAGCAAAACCAAAGTGCTTCAACCTGAGCTACCTGTCTTTAGCTTACTTCCCAACTCAGGAATGCAGACTGACATAAGTCTTTTTTAAATAAAAAAACAACAATCAAGCAATTGTCGTCTAGATGTCAGACAGCGATAACCTCGCTGGCCTGCAGCACTGTGCTTGTTAGTAACCCGCAAGACTCATCCCTCCTTGGTACAGATTGTATGCAGCCGCTTGACAGGTGTCCCAAGTTGAGCAAGAGTTGCCTCTAGTTCACCTGCCCTCAAAGGGTTTGGCAGGAGAGGATGGCAAGTGTGGTGGAAAGATTCAGGGACAATCAAACATTTAAATATTTCAGTGTAGCATGGCAGAGTATCAAAATAATACAGTAGTGGGGTAGGAGAGCTGAAAATAATGTCAATATATTTCACATCTGGCAACCAGTGCTTGATCCTGACCACACTAAGCCTTCTGATGTATATTGTACTCTCGGAGGCTTAGTTTGGTCAAAATCGAGTACAGCCGTACCTTTGTTTACATAACCCTCTTGTTACGTAAACTTCGGGATGCGTGCGCGGCAAACCCAGAAGTATTTTACTGGGTTTTGTCGCGCGTGCATGCACAGAAGCGGACTGTGCATGTGCAGAAGTGGTCCTCAGGTTGCGGAAACCTCGGGATCCGACCGGACCTCCGAAACAGATCCTGTCTGCAACCCGAGGTACCACTGTACAATGGGATCTGCGAACGGGATCTGTTCTGGAGCCCCGTTTGCATCCTGAACAGAACATAAGACGTGACAGCGCGTGCGCGGGTTGCGTTATGCCACTTCTGCGCGTGACGTCATTTTGAGTGCACATGCGCGAGCGGCGAAACCCGGAAGTAACACGCTCTGTTACTTCCGAGTTGCCGTGGAGCGCAACCCGAAAATGCTCAACCTGAAGCACATTCAATGAGGTATGACTGTTTACATTTCCAGAGTTAATGCTAAATACGTTACTTCCAGTAAATGAGCCACCATAGCCACTAGAGGGCCGTGAAAATTTGTGTCCTGGGCTTTTTAGACTTGTCTATCCATCTGAAACTGAACCTCTTGGTTGCCAGACATGAAAAATTTTCAGCTCTCCCTTTTGTTTTCCAGTGCACTTCTTATCAACTAAAAATTTTCTGTGGGGCGAGCAAATTTTGATTCTGAAAGTGTGGCTCACTGCTCTAGGTGGAAAAGCAAAGGGGGTTCTACAAATGCCAGCCATTTTGGAGACAGTGTGTGTTTGTCACTCTGGTCTCCTGGGGTATCTAATAGTCTCTGAGAGCCAGCAAAGACAATGAGCTGAGTTGCTTTAAGTTTTATGATTCAAGGAGCTCAGCAAAGTAACCTCGCTCTACTGTCTTAGCTGGAGGCCTGCTATTCTTTCAGTGCCAGTAGAATCATAGAAATGTTGCATTGGAAAGGGACGCCCGAGGGTCATCTAGTCCAACCCCTGCGATGCAGGAAACACTGCTAAAGCATCCATGACAGATGGCCATTCCTCCATATCCTTTGCTGGTAAGCAGACACATACACCGCCAGCGCAGGGCATCATAGTCCCGTGTCAAATTGTGGCCCACAGTTTAGAACAGGAGCAACATTTTTCAGCCCAAGGCCTGCATTCTTATCTGGACAGGGCCAAAGACCAAAGTGGGCAGGGCAACACATGCAGATTTTCTTTTCTACCATTGCACAGCAGGCTGGTGTGTGTACACACATCTGTTCCACTCTATCTTACATGCAGGCAAGCAAGAGTCATCACTGGCATTCACTGACACATTCCTGCGGTGCAAAAGCAAGGGAGTGGGGGATGAAGTAAGGCTGATGAAGAGTGTGGCCTAGGGGGAAGGGTGTGTAGCTGAGGAGGAGATGTGGGCTGGGGAGAGTCCCGAGGGCCCGAAAGGCCAAGAGGGCTGTATTTGGGTCGGAGGTTTCCCACCCTCTGCTTAGAAGCTGCAGCCACGTTCTCGCTTTGGGCTGGCCCGCCTTGTCTGGTACTTAGCTCTCCGCTTTCGTTTCCCCGCAGGCGAGTCTCCTGGCCTGCGAGGGACTCTCTGGGGTTTGCCTGGTGCCGACGGTTGCCAGCAAGAAGATGATGCCGAAGCAAAGCCCTAAGCAGGTGGAGAATGGAGAAAGGGGTGCTCCAAACATGCTGGTACGGGGCCAGCCCACTTTCAGCTTGTCTGCACAGCTGGTCCCTGTGTGCTCCCCTGTGCCCCTTTCCAGCCGTGTCAGTGGGTGACGAATAGAAAAAAGCTCGGATAGGGAACGTGGCATTTAGGGCCCTGGGTTGAGCTGCTGTTGTTTTTGTGACCTGTGTTGTCCCGCTTCCTCTGCCAGGGACATCACCGCAAGGAAAGCGAGAAGTCGCGCAGCCGAAAGGAAGAGGAAGCGACAGAAGGGTCTCAGCCCAAAAAGTCTCATAAAAAGGCAGGTAATCTTAAGTTGTACGGGCTGGCGAAAGGTCTAGCCCTTCTCAGTATGATCTCCCTGCTGCTGGCAAAGACGCAGAGCAGTATGCCTGTCAGATTCTGGTGGAGGCTGGAGGGCCACCTCCATCAGCTGGAAGTGGCTGGTTATTTTTTAGAAATTCCTCCCCTGCCTTTCAGCCCCCAAGGTGGCTTCCGGATTAAAAACACTAACTCTAGTAATAGAGAGAGAGAAACAATTCCATTGATCAAATCATTAAAAGTATAGCAGAAAGGAGGCATAAAATAACTGGTGAGTTTAAAACACAGTGACATAGCAGGCGGATAAATCACATTGAAACAGTGGAAAGAAGTGTCTGCGTCCTAGAAGCTAAGCGAGGGAGTCATAGGAATGACTTTTGGGAGGGACCATATAACACCAGTCCTAAAAGATCTACATTGGCTCCTATTATGTTTCCAGGAATAATTCAAAGTGTTGGTGCTGACCTTTAAAGCCCTAAACGACTTTAAAGTCCATGTCCATATAAAGTACATGGTCCATGTATACCTGAAGGAGCTTCTCCACCCCCATCATTCAGCCCGGACACTGAGGTCCAGCTCCAAGGGCCATCTGGCGGTTCCCTCACAGCAAGCAGTGAAGTTAACAGAGAACCAGGCAGAGGGCCTTATTGGTAGTCACACCTGCCCTGTGGAACACCCATCAGATGTCCAGGAGAAGACATCGTTTTCAATACTTTGAACTCATTGGCAGTAATCTCAGCTCTGGGACTGGACAGCCAACATAAGTCACGAGAGAGTGTGTGTATTGATATATTGCTCAGTCCTAGTTATTAACTGGGAGCCTTTGGAGTTTAAACTGAGGCTGGGAGAGAAACCCTTCAGGTAAGGATTCCCCTCAGCCGTGCATCTGGCTCTTGAGTCCTGAGACTGGACTGCCAGCAGACTCCATATGTAGCAGCAGAATTGTAGTAGCAGTACAAAGGGAGGGGAAGGAGGCTTGGCAGGCCAGTGAGACCGCCATGTGGTCTGCTTTAAAAATCTTTAAAAATAAAATTTTCTTAGAGCTTTTTCATAATACAATAAGAGAAACTAATCTAAATAAAAACAAAAATGAAGAAAGAAAAAAGAAAGCACCAAAGGAAAACAAATAAGAAAGAGAAAAAGGATTTTTGCTTTTCCTCCTGTCAATTACATAAAATAAATTATTCAAAATAATCACTCTAGAATGACACTCAACTGATCTGCTTTCTGTTAGGCAATATTTTCCCTTCCTTCTGACCCAAATGGATTAATTCGTTTTCCCTTTTTCACACAAAAAGTCCAGAAGGAGATGATTGTTGTTGTTGTTAAATGTCAGCAATAGTTTTTCTCTTATCAAACATATCAAGTTTGTTTCCAATAAGCTCAACAACCATTCCTCCATATTAAACAGTAATGTATTTCCATCTTTGTCCACTCAATAGGCTCTCTGCTGCCATCATATATTAAAACGATATTCTGCAGTTATTTACTTACTAGGTATTAATTAGTTCACACCCAGTTCCATATCTTCCGTTCCTGTTTCCTCTTATATTTGCTCTGGTTTTCCATCTTGATTTTGAAAAAGTCATCCCTTCCATTTATGCTGTTTCCATTCTTTTTCCAGGAAAAGCTCCAGAAGTTTGATACCTTTCCCCTCTAAATCCACTCCAAGCCAGTTATTAAATGACAGGGGTAGGTAGGCAAATGGTTAGCTAAGAAGGTAGCAGTAACCGTATGTGCCTCGGTTGCAGGTCATGGTGATTGAGCAGAACGGGTCATTCCAGCTCCGAATCCCCAAGAACTTTATTTGCGAACACTGCTATGGTGCATTCCGGAGCAGCTACCATCTCAAGAGGCACATCCTCATCCATACAGGTAAGTGGTTTTCCAGAATCCTTCTGCACCTGGTGATACCTGAGAACATTGTGGGAAGCAAGCAACTTCCTTGCCAGCACTGGGCTCGCGACTTAAGCTTTTGCTTCTTGCAGCGAGACTTCCGGTTGGTAGCTTTCACTGAGGAAGCTTGCTTATAAAGTTAGCATTTCATTCATTTATTAGATATATTAATTGCTTGCCACCCCAAGAGACTTACAGCAAAAAAAGATACACCTTTTTAATACAGTGGTACCTCGGTTTAAGAACAGTCCTGTTTACGAACGATTCGGTTTACGAACTCCGCAAAACCGGAAGTAGTGTCCCAGTTTGTGAACTTTACCTCCGTCTAAGAACGGAATCCAAATGTTGGAAGGGCACCGGCAGCGGGAGGCCTCATTAGGGAAAGCGCACCTCGGTTTAAGAACAGACTTCTGGAACGGATTAAGTTCGTAAACTGAGGTACCACTGTACTCATATTACCATCCTTATATTACCATAAGTAAAGGTAAAGGGGCCCCTGACCATTAGGTCCAGTCGTGGCCGACTCTGGGGTTGCGGTGCTCATCTCACTTTATTGGCCGAGGGAGCTGGTGTACAGCTTCCGGGTCATGTGGCCAGCATGATTAAGCCGCTTCTGGCAAACCAGAGGAGCGCATGGAAACACCGTTTACCTTCCCGCCGGAGCGGTACCTATTTATCTACTTGCACTTTGACGTGCTTTCGAACTGCTAGGTTGGCAGGAGTAGGGACCAAGCAACGGGAGCTCACCCCGTTGCGGGGATTTGAACCGCCAACCTTCTGATCGGCAAGTCCTAGGCTCTGTGGTTTAACCCACAGCGCCACCCACGTCCCCTTACCATAAGTACTTATATTACCATAAGTGAAAAAAGGGAGAGGAATCTTATCATATTAATATTTTGTGTAACAGAACATTCATACATTCATTCATTCACTCACTCAATAAATAAATACACACACACAAATAATAAGGAGGATGATAGTGATGATAATGTTAATAATAACAATAACAAACAACAATAATAAACCATACTAAACAAAGCAATACTCAGACCCATTAATTAACAAATTAACACAAATAAATAAAACCTCTCTCTCTCCTTAGTCCAAGAATCATTCACATCAAACCAACAAATTCCCCCCTTTAACCTCCCCACCCCACCCAGAAATCTGGTGTCAAGGGTAGTTATTGCAAATCAGGGGTGGGCAACGTCAGGTTTTCAACTTTGCAATGTATCACCAGCCCAAACATTGCGGTGTTGAAAGGGGGAAACAAACTGCATTGGCGCCAGTGTGAAACTGCTCCATTCCCACCAATGGAGCTTAGGCAGTTTCACCCTGGCACCCAACAGGAACAAGCTGCCTCGTCCCTGGCGCCAGGAGGAAGAAGCATCTTGCCCACCCATGCAAAGGCGGCGGCGGCAGAAAAAGCCCTGCGGACAGAGTCTGTCAGACTCCGTCCACAGGGCTCCCTCTCGGCCTTCGCACAGGCAGGCAGCTTCTCTAAAGTGCTCTGCTGGGGAGTGCATGGCTGCCTGAGCCTCAGCAGAGCAGTTTAATAAAGCCCCTACCCCACTTTTGGCTCCAGAGGAGGGCTCTGGGAGCATCCCAGGGACTGGTAAGTGAGGGTGTTGTGGTTCTGGACAGTCAAGAGTTAACACTCCAGAAGCGTTCTGATTCACTGGGTGCATGGGCATTTTCCTTTGATCTGTGCTCTGTGGGGGCTGAACTCTCTCTGGAGAGCAGTCTGTCTGAGAATGTGAGCAAGGTAGTTTCATTTTTGTTACAGGCAGAAAGCTGCAAGCATGCAGCTAGATTCTGTAGGTTTTTCTTTCTGTTTGTTATGCTTCTAAATAAAGTGTGTTAGAATAGAGGCACTGGTGTCGAGCTGAGTTATTGAAGAGACCACGTCAACACAGACAAGCCATTTTATGCTGCGTGTGAACTCTGCTATTATCTGGCAACTGAGAAGAGTGGAAGTGCGCAAGTGGAAGCGTGTGGGCGCCACTGAAGTTTGTCGGAGTGGCAATAAGATTTTTTGCAGGGCCGTTGCAGCAAACTCAGTGGGTCAAAGGATTTACGACCCACAAACTTTAACAGAGGGCAAGGTGCACTCCAGCCAGGTTGGGATGACCATGGTGCCCCTTTAATCACTGGGGCTTAAAAGGTGTGGGAGCAATGAGACAGGCGCCAAAGTTTCTTCCTACCCCAAAAGCACCTGTTTTCTCCTTTCTGCAGGTGAGAAGCCATTTGAGTGTGATGTGTGTGACATGCGCTTCATCCAGAAATACCACCTGGAGCGCCACAAGCGTGTGCACAGTGGGGAGAAGCCGTACCAGTGTGAGCGCTGCCTGCAGGTAATGCCCCCATCGTCACTTTCTGTGTAGGGTGGGAAATGTTAGCACCCCCGCCTGATGTTTGAGAGACCTCCTTGCACCATGGGAAGGGAGGCATTGGTGCCTGCCGCCTCCTAAGAGATCTCTTGGGTGGGATTCTAGATTGAGAGGGTGCAGAAAGCGCTAGGCTGCAACTGGCAGCTCTCCCCAGCAAGGGAGAGAATATCCAGATAATTATGGATCATCGTGGCAGCAGGAAGTTACTCTCAGCTGTTCAGAAGTCTGTTTTGATTGACAGTGCGTGCATTCCTGAGCTTTATGGTGCACAACTTAATTGCTTTTGGAGCTACATGTATCCTGCATATCCCTGGAAATCTTGAGTAAGCAGAAAATATCTAACCTGTCATAGAATTCTGAGAAGCTATCATTTTAGGGCTTTCTTTAAAATAGTATTCTAAGCCACAGAGTAAATGTATGGATAACTGTTTTTTCAGAAGCTTGGGGAGGGACTAAGTGGGGTTTCAAATAATTGGACAGCAGGGTATTAGTCAGGTTATGTGCACTTTTTATATATATTTTTTAAAATCAGTTTTGCACCAAAATTAGCTGTACTTTGCAAATTGCAAAGCATGCCAGTCAAGCAGTGCCATATTCTGCTTATTTACATATTTTGTTCTGATAGCTATGGGGAGGATGTAAAGGGCTTCCCAAAGCATTTCCCTGCTAAGGAAACAGGATTCTGTGCTCAGTACATCATCCTGTGGATTTTTGGTATTTGTGTGGAAGTGCAGAATACATGCAGTCCTGACTTTAGGACTCTAGATGGCTCCTTTCCCCCTTCCTGTGGCTGATTCTCTGTGTCTGTACAGCTCACCTCTGTTTTCCTTCTGTTTTTGTGTGCACCAGTACATGGCCTTGCTAATACTCTGTTGTTGGAGTTTATGTTGCAGTACAGATACATTTAGCTGTGTGCAACCCTATGATTTGGTTTTTAAAAAAACCCTAGTTAAAGTTTCAGACATACAGTGAAACCATAGTTCAGCCAAACCTTGCTCATAGAGGATGTACTTTAGGAACTAGTAAGACTGGGCTATCACCTTTCCAGCAATAAGAGATTTGGAGAAGGCAGCAAACAACCATTCGTTTACACTCTCCAAATGTAATGCTTAACACAAACCCTGGTTTGCAACCCATTTCAAACCGTGATTTCACATTCTAGTTTGCAGCCTAGTATATTATGATTTCTATACTGCCCTCACAGGGCAGTATAGAAAATGCAAAAATACATATCATAATAACAAACAAAAACAATAAACCCCCATGTATCGATTGTGCTTTTGGCTGTGAAGCCTCTGGTTACACTTGCATGACATGGAATGTTCAGTTGCTCAGGGTACTGTGAACTGTTTGCAATCCTTCTTAAGTGGGGGAAGGGAGAATAGTCATTGCAGCTGCAATCCAAATCTTTTGTAGGGCAGGCTGATGACCCAGAAGAGGTCCCAGGGGAGAGAGAAAGGAAGGGTCAGGGACTGAAGAGGCAAGATGACTGGAGGAATGATACAGAGTAGGCAACAGGCTGAGAAGGCAAGAACCCAGAGGGAGCGTAGGTAGGGAATGAGGCTTGAGGAGGCAAGGGACTAAGGCAAGAAGTGGCTTTGAATCAATTCTTATGAGGAGGAGGGGCTGTATGCTCTGTGGGAAGGGAGAGAGGAGGGCTGGAGAGCTGTTCCAAGAGATCTGAGTAGCTAAAGGAAGTGAGAGGCTGAAAAGCAGGGAACTGGAAGAAATAATTGGTGTTGGAGACATAGTTAAAGGAAGGTGGGTCCAAGAAGATAGTGGCTCTGAGGCAAAACTTTGGGTAGGATCTAGGACAGCCTTTCTCAGCCTTGTTTCTGCATATGTTGTTGGACCTACAACTTCCATCATCCCTTACCACTGGTCCTGCCAGCTAGGAATGGTGGGAGTTGTAGTCTAACATCTGGGGACACAGGGTTGAGAAAGGAGGATCTGGGGGTGGGAGGAGAGCTGGGTGTGCCCTGGGCAAGTAGGCAAAGAAGAGAGGAAGCCAGAATTGGAAGGAGTTCCCTTTTGCCTATCTGGCTTTCTCTCTTTTGTCGGAGAAAGCCTGAAACGGATAAAGGAGTTTCTCCCAACTCTGGCTTCTGCTGCTACTACAGAATTATGATCTGGCAACCTTAAGGCCGAGAAGCTGGAGGTGGGTGGCAAAATTTCACACCTTGGTTTGAATTAACCAGCCAGTTCCTGTGGTTTCAGGCTTATTCCCCAAATGCATCACTTTCCCCCATGCTTAAGTGTTTCCCCCCACTTAGTACTGAGCCTTTAACTTTCCCTCTGACCCTACATGAGCCTCTCCCTGCCTCGCTTTCTTCCATGTGCCACTCGTGAGATGTTTCCTCTCTTCTCCTTTGTTCCTTTCAGAGCTTCTCCAGGACAGACCGGCTGCTGAGACACAAACGGATGTGTCAGGGTTGCCCCAGCAAAGCGTCTGACTCACAGCTGCTGCTTTAGGGGTAGGCCAGGAGAAAGGGGAAACTAGGAGGAGCTGCAAAGCAAACAGGATTATCTGTGGGTTATTTTGTTCATTTGTTGGGGTGGGGTGGGGTTGTGCTTGTGTCTGCCTGCTGGGCCTCCCCCTATGGAAGGGGGCAGAGCTGAGTTGGCGCACAGACTTTCAGACAAGGTCTTGGCACTGTAAATAAGTTGAGGACAAACCAGGGCTGGCTTCCCAGTCCCTTGTGGTTGTGGATAAACTTTGTCTGAGTTCCTCTTTTTTGTTGGAGTTATCACCATTTGCCTCAGGAAAGGCGTTGTGAGAACGGCTGCACCCTCCTGCAAGACCCGATTATGATGTTCGATGCTCTCGATTGACAGAGCTGCCAGCTCTTGCCCATTCTTTTGGGCCTGCCAAGATGGGAGAAGGACAGACTACTAATCATTTTTAAAAATTACTGTTATTATTTTAAAAAGACAACAATCAAGCATCAAACTGTTTTCGCAGAGCTGAGAAGCAAAAGCTGTGGATTTAAGAGACAGGTTAGCGACAGAAGGGTTTTGATTCCTAAGGGGTCGCATCAGAGCTTTGCCATAACAGGAGCCTGTCTCTTTGGAGCTTTTCCAGAAGGTCTACAGAGCTTTTTATTCTCCTGCAGGATCTGGATCCCTTTCTCAACCCTCAGGTTTCAAGAAACAAGGGCTGGTGGGGTGATGTGTGCTCCTGGGTACCATAAAAGCCCACCTTTCAGGTGTTCACTACCAGCGAGCTCTCAGAGGAGATGCTATTGACTGCTGGCTGGAGGGAGGTGTCTGGCTACTTCCAGTGCTTCAGACCTTTTGCAGGAAACTTGACTCTTGCTCCCCTTCCTTTGTATATATATATATCCTGTATGTGTTCAGGATCCACCCCATTGAACTCCGCTTCATGTACAATTCATATCTTTATCTGATGGGAATCCTTCCTCACCCACCTCTCCAAAAAACCCAACAACGACACAAGAGTCGGTGATAGTCCACGGTTTCAAAGTGTTCCTCTGGCAGGAGGGGACTATAATCCATCTTGGGCCATGTGGAGGAAGATGGCAAGCAATGTACTCGAAGCTCACAACTAAACCAAGTCCAGGATGCCCTTACTCCTTCATACTGGTTTCTGCTGCCTCGGCCAAAGTACTGCTCTCTTAGGAAAGCCATTGTCCGAGAGAAGCAAAGTCTCCAGTTGCTCTTGGCTGTCCCAGTTTTTGCAGGCCTTAAGAGTCAGCCCGATTCAGAAGATGTGATCCTTGCTGGTGCTGTTGGGTTGCAATGAACAGCAGCAAATCTGCAAGGAAAGCAAGTGTCTGCAAAACCTTGCCTTCGGTTTTGGTTCTCGCAGTGGGTTTGTGGCTGCGTTGGGGTGTGGGGAGAGACAGAGAACGGCCAGTTCAGAACTCTTCCATTGGAACCCCCGTCTTGTGAATGGGCACCCGTATCTGAAATCCTCCTGTGTCTTTTGTGCGATAAACTCTTCTCCTACCCTTTCCCCCTTTCTAGAGTTAACCTCTCCCAGGCTTTTGCAGGCTTCTGTTGGGTCCCACTTCCCACTCATCCCTCGCTGCAAGCCAGCTTCTGAGACATGCATCAGTAGAGGACTGGCTTCCTCCATGAGGTCATGTTGCAGAGAGAGGGAGAGCAAGCACTTTTGAAAGTTTAAATGACGTGCCGATGCAACTGGAAAGGTTTGTAAATAGAGGTGGAGTACTTTAGATCAAGAAGGATTTCTCCAACAGTACAACAATGCTCTAGTAGTAAGTGCTGCGCGCTAGAGGCTCAAAAACACTTGTAAACTTGGAGAAATCACCTGGTTGGTTTCTTTTTAAATGTTCTCTGTCATTTCCCAAGTGGCTGTCTAAAAGGCAGTGTATCTTCTTAGACTCCCTCATCCTCTTGCAGTCAGCCTGAACTTTGGTTGGAGCGCCCAATGGGAGAGTTTTGTGTGCTATGTGGTTTTTTAACGCTGTGCTTGAAGGCATTGCATTGCAGCACCTACCCAGGAGAAGGCTGTCTTAAGTAGTGGAACAAAAAGCACTGTTGGAAAGGACTTCCACCACCATTTGTTCTGTGCTTCTACAGAGCAGGTCATAGGTCCAGCTTTCCTGGTTCAAGATGAGGATTATGCCAAATCATAATGGTGCTTCCAAGACTTACTGGTTACTTCGGCTCTTGGAGCAGAGATGGAAAGGGAGCTTTTTCAAGTCCCCCCCTCTTGTGTGTATTAAGAGAACCAGTGTTTCATTCCCACTTCCTTTTATTAGGTAAATTGACCCCCCCCCAAGCTATAATTAGTTCAGCCCCCTTTTACTCTGCACTTCATTGTGCTGAATGATTTGTTAAGTGTAACTCTGGGTACTGTGGCTTGTTGTTTTGGTTGGGGCCAGCAAAAAGCATTGTACAAAAATGTCAACTCTTAGAAAAGAATAACAATTGAGCGACCGCGTGGCTTTGTGATTTTGCTTTCCACAGAAGCAGTTATGGGATTGTGCATTAGAAAATGCATGTGGAAATACAATAAGTTGGCGTTCTCTCCTGGCGTCCTCCTCTCTTGTGCCACAATTCTAGGGCAAGAAGTACTAAACGTTTTTAAAAAGGAAAAATCTTGCTCTAGCACAGTGTTTCCCAAACGTTTTTGGGCAACGGCACACCTGTTTACTGAAAAAAAATCTCGCGGCACACCACCATTAAAGCCCCGCCCCGTGACGTCAGCGCGCAGCGTCACGCCGGGAGGGACGCACAAAAGTGAAAGTTTTTTCCCTCGGCAGCTCCTCTCAGCTGCGCTCAATCCGCCTCGGAGCGCAGGAGCGATGCCTCTCTCTGGCTCTCCCTCCGCGCAGGCTGAGGGAGGGAGGGAGGGGCGCGTGTGACCCGTCTCTGCTGGGAGACCAAACCCAGCGAGGCAGAGTCGCGCGGAGGCGCCCAGGCAGCGCTGCCGGCTGCGAGGAGGAGCGCCAGGCAGCAGCAGGAGGCGCGGCCTCTCCTCGCCGCCCCGCCTCTCGCCGCCCGACTCGCCCGCCTCCCTCCAGGCATCTCGCAGCACACCAGCCGATGTCTCACGGCACACTCGTGTGCCGCGGAACACCGGTTGGGAAACACTGCTCTAGCAGGAAACGCCTTTTTGTTGAACACTAGGCATTGCTGTTCTGCTCTCTTCTGGTTAATCCTCTGGCATTAATCCTTCAGTAATTCAGTAATGGCATGGCATTGCAAAAGCGTACTCAGTGTTGCGGCTTATTTCCCCATTCAGCAGTCTGAAAATCATCTGGTTCTCTTGAACGGACTTGATGCCAGACCCCTTTGCGTGCCAAACAGGGCGATGACCCATCATTGCTTCGATCCCTCTGAAGCACGTGTGGCTTTTTACAGCACAAAGCTATTTACAGCACAAAGCCACCAAATGAGCACTCTTCAGCCTGCTTGTTAACACTTGGCCGGTGCAGCCAGCCATGGGGTTAGCTATCAGTCCAGCTCCTCATTGAGCTAGCTAACAAAGGGAAATGCTTGTTTCTGCTCAGGCAGATACATGGTGAAGTGCAGATTTGGAAATGGCTTGTATGAGCCGCTGTGTGGCACATGATCTTTACTTTGGGGGTTTCTCTCAGAACCTGGCGAGAAGGAGGGTGTTGCTGGTGTTAAAGGCAACATAGCTAGCTGAGTGAGTGGGAAGGAGGGTGTTTCTACTTCCCATTGCAGCCATCTTCCTTGTACAGTTGACACACGGCTTAGCTTGTGGCTTATCCACTAGTGCAAGTCACACTTCAGTGTATAGAAGTGCGGCCAGCTTGGCTCTGAAGATTAATTTGTTTGCAGGGCGAGCTTGCTTGTCTTTGTAAAAGTATCCGCTGTGTTCCTCAAGTATCCTATAAGGAAAACCTTTAGGGGAGAGATTTGCAGAACTTTCAGATGCCTTCGAGGAACAAAATGTTTTGGGAACTCCTGGAAAATGGGCTGTCGTGTTTTTATGGGACTGTAGGCAATCTCTCCTGAGGGAGTCAGAATTATATGGTAAGGAAAACCACGGTTAAAGCTTTTTTCTGAGCTTTTCGACTAAAGTGTGCAACAAATGATGTGCTTGTATGTCCCGTCCCCAATAAAAGACAGAATGCCTGCACACAGCGAGTTACCATGTCAAAGAGAAAAAGTATGAATGTGTAAAACATGCAACTTTCTCCTACCCTTCCTGAAATGGTATTATCCAGGAAGTGCTGCATCGCATGGCTATGCTAGTGTGTGCAACAGGCTTGGTTGTCGTCTTCTTGGAAGCGATACTTCAATGACACAAGAACCCTTCTCGAGTGAATTGATAGCAACACCCAGGATGAGTGAAGTCTTGCATTTTTCGTTGACGGGGGTGAAATTGACTAGGAACAGAAGTGAAACTTGACTGGGAAGTGTCTGACTTCCACTGTTTCAAAAATGAAATGGTTTCAAAACAAATCTTGTTTGTTCATCGAGTAGCACAAAGAGGTGGTTGTGTTGAAAGAAAGTTTTAAACTTGGCAAGGGGTTCGGGAAAGCGACACGAACAAACGCAGTTGGCAGGGGTTTGCGTTGGTGCGGCTGTAGCAGAGAACAAAGCGGATTTCAAGAAGGAGGAGGAGTTGTAGCGCGGAAGCAGGGCTCTGCATAAACTCTGAAAGTTGTACGTTACATGCAAACTTGTCTCTAAACACAACCTCTCTTGGTGCAACATCTCCCCCTTCTGGATGTGGGGGGATATCCAGTGTTTTTTGAGTGTGTGCCATGTTGCAGTGAACCAGTGCCCACAGCTCCCCCCACACCGCCTCAAGATGTTATTTGTACGCACAACTTGAGTTCACCGATTGAAGCCTCCTAACATGAACGTGCATTCGGGGAAACTTTTAGGAGATGCTTTTGCCCCTAACCTCTACCCGATACCTCTTCTTCCGTAGAAGCTGAGAAACTGGCATACCATCAGTGGGTGTGGCTTGAAACCTGTTGAAATTCTGGTTGTCTCGCTGGTGGCTTGTGCACAAAACTCACCAGCACAAATTGTTCTGTGTCGTTTTTAATGTACTTGACAGGCTGCCTTAGGGTGCTGTGTTATTTGGTAGACATACTGCTGGCCTTGGGGTTTTGGGATTGAAGCTGCGGCCCTAACCCCACCTACCTGGGAGTAAGCCCCGTTGAATTAAATAGGACTTACTTCTGAGTAGACACGGTTAGGATTGTCCTGTTTGTTTGAGGTCAGAGAAGGGAGGAGGACATCTTCATACTGGCTTTTTACACACTCCTTCCATTCGCAGACAGAGGAAGGACAGATACTTAGCACTTCAGGCTGAACAGAGGATCTATGAATTTGTCCATATTGCTCTAGCCTAGTCCAGTGGCTTTTTTTTTTTTTAATTTCCCTTCTCCCCCCCCCTTCCCTTTAATTCACTTATTTTGCTATAGGGGAGGGAATTGGGGCAGGGTGTGTGTTACCCATGGGCAGGATCACTTTTAAACTGTAGTTTTTATAAAATGTTATAAACTTGTATCTTTTTACCATTACAGTGTGGTGTCTGATCCTTTTTTGTGACCTATTTAGTTCTCCATCTGAACTCTGCCAAAGATTCAGTTCATTATACCATCAATGGCCAGTTACCCACAATCCACCAAAGAGCTGAAATACACAAACTACTTCTCTATGAAGTTGCCTTGCCAACCAAGATTGGTATTCTCTAAACACTCTCTTTCCAGGGTTCCAAGCCGTAGCTGGAGACTGAATTTGGGACTGTTTTGCATGCAGAGCCTATGTTTGACTAGTGAGCTACAACTGCTGCCCACTGGGTTCCTCAGTGCCTTCCGCTGACTTCATTTATATATGGGCTATATATAATTTGGGTCACTGGAGGTGGGAAGAAGTGGCTCCTGCCACTGGGCCAACTACCGTTCCTGAACCCAAATGGCTACTTGCATAAAAGACAGCTCGAAAAAAGATAACTGTAGCCCCTCCTTTCTGATTTGTTTTCCATTAGTGCTGCGCCAATTTGGGGGGAGGGAATGGCAGAACTAGGAATCTCTAAGCAAAGCACACCTTGCGAAAAGAATTCGTTAACCAGTTTTATTATGAAATCGCATCCAGTTCCCTTCCCTCCCGCCCCCTGGGAAAAAGTTTAAATTTTATTACTTGGGATTATTCTGCGAGGTAGATAGACCCAAGCTAAGAGATGAAGACATCCCTGTGTTTTTGAGTGAGGATTCGAACCCAGCTTCTCCCTAGTCCAAATCCAGCAGCTGGCACAGTGCTCAAGGCTTTCACCAATCCTCAGTCACCGTTGTACTTGGGATTGATGACTGTGGTGGTGGCACTCCGGTATAGTGGATTGTTCACCTGCAAAAGAGGCAAGTAGACAAAGTTGTATGCCTCTTACTTCCTGTTACAGAATTTGCTATCCCCAAACCAGGTGTGTGTCTCACACGCCTTGGGGGCTCAGCCTCCCATAGTTTTATATGCCTTGAAATAACGCTGGGGGGTGAAGCTGTGGGTAGTAGTGTCAACCTGACCAAAAGACTCCATTTAATAGTGGGGAATTGATTTGGGAAAAGGCCGTGGCTCAGGTGGTAGAGCATCTGTTTTGCATCCAAAAGGTCACAGGTTTGATCTGCAGGCAGGGCGGCCAGAGACTTTCCCCTGAAACCCTGGAGAGTCACTGCCAGTCAACACTGACCACTGGGCTGGATGAAACAACTTTACAAGGTAGCTTCCTATGGAGGGACACTTTCTGTGGTTAAAAGGGGTTTCCATCATTTTCTGTTAACATTTTTTGGAACAACAATAAAATGCATCTAGGTTGATTACATGATTGCCCGTAACCAGGTCCAGCTGCTGCTTTGGTCACAGCCTGAGCTCAGGTGGGTCTCAGCGACATGGATATACGCTGAAAGAAGTTACGAACATGGTTGGGCAAAAAGCTGGGTCTCAACTTTGAAGAAGTTGAAGTCTGCTCATCTAAAAAGTAGTCAAGGAAGCGGGGATGTTAAAAATCGGACTCTTCACATGTGCCTAACTTGCCCCTTTATGCATAGAGGGTTTAGCCTTCCAGCTTTGGGCTTGCTGTAAAGGCTCCCCTGTTGTGGAGCCCACCATCCCTTTTAGAGAATGAGTGTAACTTTTGTTCCAGGAAGCAGCAGCCCAGTCAGGGCTGAGAAATTCCCTGGCTGGGATAAGGAGCAGGTGAGATCAGAGTGAGGCTGACATGAACTAACTGCAGCCTTCAGGTAGGGAAGGAAGGAGCGCTGACCTCATTCCACTTGGCGTGCTTCCTCTCCTTTTCAAAACGCTTGAACTCCCTCCGGTCATAGATCTCCAAGACGATGCGGTAGACTATTATGAGGAAAAGCCCAAAAAACACCAAGCCCAGCACTGAGCTCAGTACCAGCTTGAATGTCTTCTTGGTTGTGTTACCTGGCAGTTTAGAAGAAAGGAGTTGTGAGGATCTGCAGCTGAGTTCTGAGAAGCAAGTGCCCCTTCCTCGTTTATTTATTGGACTTCCTCCCTCTCCTGCTACCGTCGTGCACACATACTCTGCTAACAGTTATTGTAACAATAATAATTTATTATTTATATGCCACCCATCTGTCTGGGTTGCCCCAGCCACCTTGGAAGGCTTCCAACAAATTATAAAGCGTGAAACATAATAAAACATCAAACATTTAAAACTTCCCTATACAGGGCTGCCTTCAGGTGTCTCCTATAAGTCAGATAGTTGTTTATTCCCTTGACACCTACGGGCAGGCACCACTACTAAGAAGGCCCTCTGCCTGGTTGCCTGTAACCTCACTTTTCATAATGGGGGAATCACCAGAAAACACTCAGTGCCGGACCTCAGTGCCCGGGCTGAACAACGGAGGTGGAGATGCTTCTTCAGGTATACAGGGCTGAAGCAATTTGGGGCTTTAAAGGTCAGCACCAACACTTTGAACTGTGCTCTGAAACATACAGGGAGCCACTGTAGGTCTTTCAGGACCAGTGTTATATGGTCGTGGCAGCCACTCTCAGTCACCAGTCTGACAGCCTCATTCTGAATTAGTTGTAGTTTCCAAGTCACCTTCCAAGGTAGCCCCACGTGGAGCACATGGCAGTAGTCCAGTCAAGAGATAACCACAGCATGTACCACTGAGGTGGCAGAGGGCACAGGCCAGTAGGGTGTCAGCCGGCATACCAGATGGAGCTGGTAGACAGCTGCCCTGGACACAGAATTAACCTGTGCCTCCACGGACAGCTGTGATTCGCCCTTGGAAGGGAGTCAACGGATGGCATCAAGTCACATACAGCCTGGGTTACAACTTAGGCTCCAGAAGAATCCGGTGCCACTGAAACTTCTGCCTGCTGTGGTTCAACGTGCTTTCTGTCACAGACATCAAAATAGTCTGGCCTTAAGAAGAGCCTTGTCGCATCAGGCCAGAAGCTCACCTAGTCCTGTTATCACAGGTACCAACCCGATGCCCCTACGAGTTGCCCAGAAACAGGGCAACTTCCTGCAATAGCCCCTTCCTGCAACAAAGGCTCTCCCACCCTTCTTTCCTGTGCCCACTTACCTTCTTTTCCATTCACAGTCAGGATGATGGCGCCCTCGTTGTCCCTCTCAATGAGGTAGATGAGGAGGCTGCCATCTTCTGCTTTGGTCTGGCACCATCTTTCGTCGGTGGCGGAGGCCGGCACCACATTCACCGTCTGGTTGCAGGATGTGCTACAAGTCTCCTGCAGCAGCCCAGTTCCAAAGGCCCTGCACTCCGCACAATTTCTGCCAACACACAAGAGCAGCCGTGAGCATTTTTTGCCTGTGCTTCCAACTGGAGCATAAGGACACCCTTTCTACAATGGTCAGGGAAAGGGGAAGGAAGACTGGCAGTTGCAAGCTGTGCTCCATGCTCGGTTTGGCCATAGTTGCAGAGACCACGTCAGAATCTCACCTGTGCTCCTCACAGGGTGTCTGGCAGTCAGCACAGCGGCTGCAGTGACTGTCAAACCAGCCAGCGTCACAATGGCATCTGTTGCAGGCGCAATGCCCATGACCGCTGCATACAACGCCCTCCTGTGTGCATCCACTGGTCTCCAGGCTGCACTGGCATGCACTGCCAGTATAGTTCTGATGGCACTCACAGTTGCCACATCTGCATTGCCCGTTGCCTACAAAGAGACGTCTGTCAGCATCACAGAGTTCCTTCACAAAGCCATTCCACCCACATCCATATATTTCTTTTTCAGCAACCTTTCTGCCTTTTGAGATGCCAGTGGCCATTGATTGCCCCACACTTGGAGGTGCACCTTTGTAAGCATGCGGGCTAGAAAGTTGCTCTTCTTAAATGAAATCGCGAGAGAGTCTTCAGAAGCTGGATTCTGTGCTCAGTACTGTGCTTTTCCTGCATTGCAGTTTATAAACGCACCCTCTTTGGACTCTTCCAGGGGACTGTTGGTTGAGCATTCACCCTGTTTGGCTTACACAAAACTTATTCCGAGGTTAGACTATGTTTGGTCTTAATTGAGCATTCATTTTGTTTTAGCTTGCAAGGCAAATGAACATTTCATCCTGATTAGCTGGTGTGTTAATCATTTCCTTATCTGCAAAAAGCCTTGCTTATTTTAAAAGGGGATTTGTTGCATGAAGTTGACAGAAGCACTTTAACCACCTTCAGCTGCACAAATCTGAATTTCTAGTGTGTGCTTCAATCCCTCCTCCCCACCCCCACCCCGGCCCCCAAATACAGTGGTACCTCGGGTTAAGTACTTAATTCGTTCTGGAGGTCCGTACTTAACCTGAAACTGCTCTTAACCTGAAGCACCACTTTAGCTAATGGGGCCTCCTGCTGCTGCCGCACCGCCGGAGCATGATTTCTGTTCTCATCTTGAAGCAAAGTTCTTAACCTGAAGCACTATTTCTGGGTTAGCAGAGTCTGTAACCTGAAGCGTATGTAACCCGAGGTACCACTGTGCTGACAATTTGGAGGCAACATTAGCAGCCTGCTTTCCTCCTTAAAACCTATGGAAATACCCACTCGGGCTACAGTAAAGCCACCAGCATCCCCACTGGTGCCACTAATGACTGCGTTGCCCAACATCTGCCAGGTTAAAAGAAAATGGCGGCAGCCCTACCATTAGAAGGTTTTTACCTCCACAGAGCTGCCCGTTGTGCCTTTCGCAGCCAGCATCATCACACTTGCAGAGGGGTCCGCTCGCCTGGGCATTGCACTGGCACTTCCCGCACACACACTGGCCCTTGCCGCTGCACACTGGGCCCGTGTCGTTCGCATCCCGGCACGTGGCTTCTGCGTCCACCAGCTCCTCTGGCTTGCACTCACACAGCCGGCCGGCATGGCCCTCCTGGCAGCTACAAGAGCAAAGACAGCACATGGGTGGGATGGGTCACAGTTGCTGAACCAGACTCATCAGGTCCACTGAGCCTGGTTTTTTCTACTCCCAGCCCAAGAAGCCTAGCAAATAGGCCTCTGCCCCACCAGCTTGTCTGTCCTCAGCCAGCCCCAACTGCCTGCCTTCTCTTTATTTTTCAACCAGTCCAGAAAGTTCTGTGGCTGCAGTGTTGGGTCTCTCTGGCCCTGGCTTCCCCTACCATTTGGGATTCCCTGTACCAGCGTGACAAGGGGCATCAGCCACGACTGAAGCCTAGCTGCCTTCTCGCCCTAAAGTAGCAACCCAAATGATCATGGGGTTTAGAGGAAATGCAGGGACGTTTGGGCCTTTTCTAATCCGGAGTGGAAAAGAAACAACTGATTTTGGGATAGTGGTGGAAATGGGACCGGGTCGGGTTTTCTAAAGTTATCAATGGGGTAGATCGGAGATGGAGTAATCATTTCCCCTTCAGTATATAATACGAGAATCCAGGGGCACAACTGGTAGTAGATTCAGAAGAAAGGATTCATTTCCACAATATATAATTAAGGCTGCAATCTTAATTTCCTGTTATCTAGGAGCACATGTACAGTGGTACCTCAGGTTAAGTACTTAATTCGTTCCGGAGGTCCGTACTTAACCTGAAACTGTTCTTAACCTGAAGCACTACTTAAGCTAATGGGGCCGCCTGCTGTCGCCGCACCGCCGGAACCTGATTTCTGTTCTCATCCTGAAGCAAAGTTCTTAACCTGAAGCACTTTTTCTGGGTCAGTGGAGTCTGTAACCTGAAGCGTATGTAACCTGAGGTACCACTGTACGTGTGTGTGTCTACACATGGAGAGAAGGGGGTCGCGCTTCTCAAACTTTTAATTGATTAATAATACCTGCAGATGCCACAGGTGAGGTTGCCACGGCCGCCAGAACAGTGAGGCGCATAGGGCTGTGTATCTCCGCACTGGCAGTCGCAGAGTGTCGCCACTTCTATATGCACCTCCTCACCCACTCCTAGAACTCGCAGGACCACCTTCTGGGGACCAGGCAGGCAGGTGGTGGCCTTTATCCGTACTGAGAATTCCACCTGTGGGAGGGGGAGCAACTGAGATAAGGAAAGAGCGACCGCCGCCATTGCCATCCATATTACTCTAAGCCAGGGGCGGAGAAGCTGTGGCCCTCCAGGTGCTGCTGAGCTTTCCCTGCCACCAGCCGCCAGTCAATAATAGGGCCAATGGTCGGGGGTGTGTGGAAGCTGGAGTCCAGCAACATCTGGAGGGCCTCGGCTTCCCCTGCCCTGCTCCATGTCAAATAGTGGAAACAGAATAGGACCTATAACTATAAAACCTGTTCTACACATCTCTGCTCTTCCCTTCCTGTTCTAGATGCCTCTACTGTTCCTCCCTATTCTAAACATCTTTACTGTTCCTCCCTCCCTGTTCTAGATGCCTCTACTGTTCCTCCCTGTTCTAAACATCTTTACTGTTCCTCCCTCCCTGTTCTAGATGCCTCTACTGTTCCTCCCTGTTCTAAACATCTTTACTGTTCCTCCCTCCCTGTTCTAGATGCCTCTACTGTTCCTCCCTCCTTCCCATCATTACTGTTCTCTCCCCCCCTCCCTCCCCCCGTTGTAGATGTCTCTGTTCCTCCCTCCCTGTTTTGCTCCAACTGAACCAATCCTGATGCCTTGGAACAAATAGAAAGCACTGACTTAATAGGTCAGGAGTGGGGAGGGCTTTTCTGCCTGAGGGGCCACTCCCCCTTCTGGACAACCATCCAAGGACCACATGACAGTGGTGGCTAAAAATGGGCAGGTAACTATTACAAATTTTACCTTTCTACAGTAGGCTTGTTTCTCCACACACTATACTCCATACAGACATGCAAGAGGACTCGTCAGAGTTCAATAACACTCAGGCTTTTAAGTGGGTGTGGCCTGTAAAGAGGGGGTGTGGCCTCGGGGGAGTTCCAAGGGACACGTAGGCCTAGACTGGGTTCACCACCCCCGATCTAAGTGCTCACCTGCTGGTTGACACGTACGCCTAGGCATTCGCCACCCTGCGTGCGCCCAGAGGTTTCCGAGTCGCCGCAATGCGAGTCGTAAGCAATGGCGATGCCAGGAGCAAGGTCTGAAGAGTGCACCAAGTTCACGGTGGACGAGAGGCTCTGCGGGGAGACCGGCCATGAGAACGTGAGCCTAGACTTCGGGCCAGTGTCTGCCTTCTGACACTGAGCTGAAGATCCAAAGACCCACGATTCAAGCCCCAACCCAGTCATTTGCTGACTCTCAGCACTCGGCGTGGGATAATGCTGGACAACTTTACAGGGTTGTTGTAAATCATATTGGGGTATGTAATGCACTTTGAACTTATTAGTATTCTAGCTCACTATTACATTCATAGTCTCTTCCAGGGCTCTTGAATCCTCAGACCTGATCAGTGGGGGATATCCAATACTAGTCATGGGAGTAGACCCATTGCAGCCAATAGACTTTCATTTATTTCAGTGTCTCCTCTATGCATAATTTAAGCATACGCAGTACACACCATACATTTGAAGAATTCTGGGAACTATAGCTCCGAGAGGCAAATTACAGTTCCCAGGATTCTTTGAGAGAGTATGTATGTTCCAATTGTGTCCACAGTCTTAGCTGGATGTTACCTAGTGTCCATTGCCAGCAGAGGGCAGAAGCAGCAAATCTGGTTCAGAACAGAAGTGCTTTCTTGTTCCATTCACTTGTAAAAAGGACCCCTAGATGATTAAGTCCAGTCAATGGTGACTATGGGGTTGTGGTGCTCATCTCACTTTCAGGCTGAGGGAGCCGCCGTTTGTCCAGACAGCTTTCCGGGTCATGTGGCACCCGCCCTGTGGAACACCCTCCCACCAGATGTCAAAGACAAAAACAACTACCAGACTTTGAGAAGACATCTGAAGGCAGCCCTGTTTAGGGAAGATTTTCATGTTTAACAGACTACAGTGGTACCTCAGGTTACATACGCTTCAGGTTATAGACTCTGCTAACCCAGAAATATTACCTCGGGTTAAGAACTTTGCCTCAGAATGAGAACAGAAATCATGCGGCGGCGGCGCATCAGCAGCAGGAGGTCCCATTAGCTAAAGTGGTGCTTCAGGTTAAGAACAGTTTCAGGTTAAGAACGGACCTCCGGAACGAATTAAGTACGTAACAAGAGGTACCACTGTACTGTATTTTAATATTTTGTTGGAAGCCGCCCAGAGTGGCTGGGGAAACCCAGTCAGATGGGCGGGGTATAATAATTTATTAATTATTATTATTATTATTATTATTATTATTATTATTATTATTATTATTATTAACCGCTTCTGGCACAATGGAACACTGTGACAGAAACACTGTTTACCTCCCCGCCACAGCAGTACCTATTTATCTACTTACACTGGCATGCTTTATGAACTGCTAGGTTGGCAGGAGCTGGGACAGAGCAATGGGAGTTCACCCCGTCATGGGGATTCGAACCGCCAACCTTCTGATCGGCAAGCCCAAGAGGCTCAGTGGTTTAGACCACAGCGCCACCCACGTCCCTTATTCACTTGTATCCTGTTCTTGGCCAGGGAAGCTCTGAGAGACACAGGTGGCTTCCCATCCAGGCAGTTCGCAGTGCCGCAGAAGCTGACTCACGAAACCTTTATCTGAGCAAAGTTCCAGCAGATCGCATGCGGTTCCCCAGCAGTCTTCATGCAGGCAGTCACCAGGTCCACCCTCGCTTAACTTCAGCATACTGTAGCAATGTGGACCCACAGGTGGCTCAAGGTAACTCAAGGCATGCAAGCCAGGCCAGGAAGAATTGCGTTCAGGATCACTAGCTAATCTCCCCTAGATGAAAAGGTCTTCCTTGCCCTGTATACAGTGTGGTGTGTTGGACTAGGATCTGGGAGACCAGGAATCAAAACCCAACACTGCCATGAAGCTCACTGGGTGAATTTGGGACTCTGGCTGTGTTCACAGCTATGCCAAAATATGGCTTAGTATGAACTCCCTCCTGGCTTTGCTCCTCCCTGGTGAGTGTGATGTGGTAGCTAAGCCATGGTTTGGTTTTGCATGTTTCTCCTCCTCAGTCAGGGGACGCGGGTGGCGCTGTGGGTAAAAGCCTCAGCGCCTAGGACTTGCCGATCGAATCCCTGCGGCAGGGTGCGCTCCCGTTGCTCGGTCCCAGCGCCTGCCCACCTAGCAGTTCGAAAGCACCCCCGGGTGCAAGTAGATAAATAGGGACCGCTTTCTAGCGGGAAGGTAAACGGCGTTTCCGTGTGCGGCTCTGGCTCGCCAGAGCAGCGATGTCACGCTGGCCACGTGACCCGGAAGTGTCTCCGGACAGCGCTGGCCCCCGGCCTCTTGAGTGAGATGGGCGCACAACCCGAGTCTGGCAAGACTGGCCCGTACGGGCAGGGGTACCTTTACCTTTACCTTACCTCCTCAGTCACGAGGGTGTGTCCTATTGGTTCAGGCCATGGGCTAAGGTTGGAGAGACCTTAACCATGACCCCAGGCTTGGATAATGCGCTAAGCCAAACCTTGGCTTAGCTACTATCCTAACATTGAACTAAAAGGCCCAGTGAGGAGGAAAGTGGGTGCAAGTTCATCACTGGAAGCCAGAATGTTCAGGCAGTCACAGTAAGCCATACCTTAGCTTACCTTGAGGTGCAAACCAAACCACTTTCTCACAGCCTATCCTACTTCACAGGGTTGTTGTGAGGATAAAATTGGGGGTGGGGAGAACTACGTACACCACCTTATAATAAATAAATATAAATAAAAATCTAGATGGGACATGCTTTTCATATTGAAAATGTGAACCTTCGTTTGCTGCAACAGGCTAACATGGCTCCAGTGGTGGTGGTGTCCACCTTGAAAATATAATTACCGTTTTTTCCGCTCCATAAGGCACACTTATTTCTTCCTAAAAAGTATGGGGAAATGTCTGTGCGTCTTAGAGAGCAAATGCATGGTCCCTGGAGCGGAATTGCCCAGGGGCGAAAAGCAGATCATGCTTTTTTTCCCTTCTTTTTTTTGAAAGAGGGAAGTGGGTATTGAAAGGAAGCAGCTGATCGGCAAGCGATTGGGGAGGGAGATAAGGGACATTAGAGATAAAGGAGGCTGCCTGGGAGTGGGGAGGTAAAAGCCCATGGATTCTCAGGGTTTTTGCATTGGGTCACCCCAAATTCACCATCAGATCACATAGCATATCCATGGCTACAGCCTGCACCAAAAAAATCACGCACCCACTGTTGCCTGGGGCTGCAATGGCGCAAAAACATGGTTACAAAGCACGGATCCACATGGATCCTCAGGATTTTTGCACTGGGTCACCCCAAATTCACCATCAGATCACATAGCATGTCCATGGCTACAGCCTGCACCACAAAAATCATACATCCAGTGTTTCGTTCAGAATATTTTTTTCCTTGTTTTCCTCCTCTAAAAACTAGGTGCGTCTAATGGGGCGAAAAATACAGTAAGGAGAAGAGTTTGGATTTGATATCCCGCCTTTCACTCCCTTTAAGGAGTCTCAAAGCGGCGAACATTCTCCTTTCCCTTCCTCCCCCACAACAAACACTCTGTGAGGTGAGTGGGGATGAGAGACTTCAAAGCAGTGTGACTGGCCCAAGGTCACCCAGCAGCTGCATGTGGAGGAGCGGAGACGCAAACCCGGTTCCCCAGATTACAAGACTACCGCTTTTAACCACTACACCACACTGGCTCTCAATGGACACAGAATGTCCATTCCCCCTTCAGGCTTGGCTCTATTCCAGGGGGCTCCTGTGGGCCTGTTTTGCCCTCCCCAGGGGGCTCTGCCCCTTGCTACCCATACTCAGCCTTACACTGTAGGCATCTGCGATGAGCTGCACCACATTGCTAGAATCCTCCTTCAGTTCCCCAACCACAGACTTGGGAATGAGCCTGCTCAGTTCCTGAGGGGAAAGGGGAAAGTCAGAGTGAGCGGCACACAAACACCCCTCAGGTTTCCCCTACTCCTCTGCCTTCCGGTTCAGCACTCACCTCATACATAGAAAGCCTGGGCCCAGTCACAGCAAATATGGCCTGGATGTTAGATTCAGACAGCACCTCGGCCAAGTGCGCAACTGAGGGGTAGTCCTGCAAAGAGACAAGAGAATGGGGTCACGTTCAAAGGAGTCTCCACTTAGATTTTCCTCTCTTCCCCCACTCTACATTTACCTCTCTTGCCGGAGGTGGGGAAGCCTTGACACTCTGCACTTCAGATAAAAAAGATCTAAACCAAGAGCGGCTAACCTGTGCCCCATCAGATGTCCGGTGGACTACAACTCCCAGCTCCCAAGAGTGGTCATGCTGGCTGGGACCAATGGGAGTTGAGAGTTCAGTAACACCTGGAGGGCCACAGATTCCATAAACCTTGGTATTAATGCTGAAAAATACATTGTATGAATTTATGTCGTCAGCCACTTTGAATGTTTTAAGCCAAGATCTTGACTTTCAGGCCGTTGGGACACTGGATGAGACCTTGTACAGAGTCAGACTGTTTAATAATAATAATAATAATAATAATAATAATAATAATAATAATAATTTATACCCCGCCCATCTGGCTGGGTTTCCCCAGCCACTCTGGGCGGCTTCCAACAAAACACTAAAATACAGTAACCTATTAAACATTAAAAGCTTCGCTTTTAATCTGCCTTCAGATTTTTAATCTGCCTTCAGATGTCTTCTAAAAGTTTGGTAGTTATTTTTCTCTTTGACATCTGGTGGGAGGGCGTTCCACAGGGCAGGTGCCACTACCAAGAAGGCCCTCTGCCTGGTTCCCTGTAACTTGGCTTCTCGCAGCGAGGGAACCGCCAGAAGGCCCTCGGCACTGGACCTCAGTGTCCGGGCAGAACGATGGAGGTGGAGACGCTCCTTCAGGTATACTGGACCAAGGCTGTTTAGGGCTTTAAAGGTCAGCACCAACACTTTGAATTGTGCTCGGAAACATACTGGGAGCCAGTGTAGGTCTTTCAAGACCGGTGTTATATGGTCTCGGCGGCCGCTCCCAGTCACCAGTCTGGCTGCCGCATTCTGGATTAGTTGTAGTTTCTGGGCCACCTTCAAAGGTAGCCCCACATAGAGTGCATTGCAGTAGTCCAAGTAAGAGATAACTAGAGCATGCACCACTCTGGCGAGACTGTGGGCAGGTAGGGTCTGTTGATCTGTCCAGCTCAGGAGTGTCTAAACTGACTGGCAGCAGCTCTCTGGGTTCAGACAAGCCCTACCTGGAGATGTCAGGGAGTGAGCCCGAGACCTTCTGCCACTGAATTGTGGCCCATTTCAGCTAAATTTTGGGTTTCCTGTGCTGCTAAGAACACCAGATTCTGTCTCTAATGGCTCCTGGCTCCTGCTTTGCAGGCTGAAGGTCCCAGATCCAGCCCTTGGCACCTCCAGTTGAAAGGGCCTTTGATGGTAGGCCTTGGAGAGCCTGAGCCAAGCAATGGGGCTAACTAACTATGGGGCAGTTTCTAAATGGGCTCGGCCCACTATACCTGAAGGAGTATCTACAGCCCCATCGTTCAGCCCGGACACTGAGGTCCAGCTCCGAGGGCCTTCTGGTGGTTCCCTCACTGCGAGAAGTGAGGTTACAGGGAACCAGGCAGAGGGCCTTCTTGGTTGTGGCACCCGCTCTGTGGAACGCCCTCCCATGAGATGTCAAGGAAATAAACAACTACAGTGGTACCTTGGGTTAAGTACTTAATTCGTTCTGGAGGTCCATTCTTAGCCTGAAACTGTTCTTAACCTGAAGCACCACTTTAGCTAATGGGGCCTCCTGCTGCTGCCGCGCCGCCGGAGCACAATTTCTGTTCTCATCCTGAAGCAAAGATCTTAACCCAAGGTACTATTTCTGGGTTTGTGGAGTCTGTAACCTGAAGTGTCTTTAACCTGAAGCATATGTAATCTGAGGTACCACTGTACCTGAATTTTAGAAGACATCTGAAGGCGACCCTGTTTAGGGAAGTTCTTAATGTTTGATGTTTGGTAGCCACCCAGAGTGGTTGGGGAAACCCAGCCAGATAGGCGGGGTATAAATAATAAATTATTTATATAGTAGTAGTAGTTGGAACAGAAGCCATCCCTCCCTACTCTAAATCACTAGCTGCCAACTTTATTCAAAGCACACAAAACAGGGCTTTCACAAGACTATTCTTCGTGCTGAATAAGCCAGCTTGGAATTGTTCCACAGCATTTACTCCCAATGTCCACATGAGATGTGACGTTGCATAACACACCTGCCACCAAAAATGGCTCTTAACGTCTAGCTCTCCTTCTGTAGTGGGAGTTAACTCTTCTGCAGCATCATGATTCTCTGCACTTCATTGGCTAGCACTGTTTGGGGAATGTGGGGCACCCCACAGGTAACCAATCAGAAACAGGTTCACACACACCTCCTCCTTCCCCATTGGCCTCACAATCCCTTCCCTTCTCTCTTCCAACTGGTCTCATTCAGAGCCAAGCCTGGTTATGATCACATGTAGTGGCAAAACCACTACAACCATCAGTAAAAGTGAGCACGCATACTGCGATTAGGGAGGTGCTGTTGCGCTTGCAATGCCAACCACAGTGTTAGGAGGGTGGGTGCTTGGGTGAGAAGAAGGGAGGAAGTGGAGAGGTGCACACAAGATCAAGGGGGAAAGAAACAGAGGAGAAACCCACAAACCACCTAACCAACATTAAGTAGCCAGGAAAGTGATACAACTGCACTGAGTCATTATCTCAAATTTCGTTTTCAATTCCAATACTGCTTGTGTGCATCTCAAAATCATAACCACCAGGACCTGGGTGTGGCCTGACCTTTCTGTTTCCCATAGACTCACAGAGTTGGAAGGGACCCGTACGGTCATCTAGTCCAACCCCCTGCAATGCAGCTGTCCCTTATGGGGCTCGAACCTGCAACCTTGGTGTTATCAGCACCACGCTCTAACCAACTGAGCTATCCAGTTGACTTTCACTTGTGTAACTTCTTAACTGATGAAGAGTTCTAGAGAACTCAAAAAACTGGCCACATTTTTTTGTGGTTTGGGGGTTGATCCTAATATAAACATCACCCAACTTCTTGTTTTCGTTTGTCTCCCGAGGCAATCTCTCTCCCTGCCTAACTTTGTTTTTCAAGAGGACCGTGAGAGACCTACGTATAGGTGGCTTTTCGTATATAGCCCTCTGGCATCCAAGTGGCAGCGGCCATCGTTGGGCATGTAGACCCCACCCAGCTTCCCATCTCCTGCCATGTGGAATGTGCCATCCGAAGTGAAGACCAAGAGCTTCGTCACGTTACGCCAGCCAATCTGCTCCTGGAAGAAGAGAGGGAAGTTACACTGCAGTTCCAACATGCAAGCCTTCCTCCACAGTTAGCCCAGTATTTTCTGCTTTTGGTAATCTGTACATGGGCAAGGGACGCGGGTGGCGCTGTGGGTTAAACCACAGAGCCTAGGACTTGCCGATCAGAAGGTTGGCGGTTCGAATCCCCGCAACGGGGTGAGCTCCCGTTGCTCGGTCCCAGCTCCGGCCAACCTAGCAGTTTGAAAGCACGTCAAAGTGCAAGTAGATAAATAGGTACCGCTCCAGCGGGAAGGTAAACGGTGTTTCCGTGCGCTGCTCTGGTTCGCCAGAAGCGGCTTAGTCATGTTGGCCACATGTCCCGGAAGCTGTATGCCGGCTCCCTTGGCCAATAAAACGAGATGAGCGCCGCAACCCCAGAGCCGGCCACGACTGGACCTAATGGTGGTTGTTGTTTAGTCATGTCCGACTCTTTGTGACCCCATGGACTAGAGCACGCCAGGCACTCCTATCTTCCACTGCCTCCCGCAGTTTGATCAAACTCATGCTGGTCAGGGGTCCCTTTACCTTTACCTTACATGGGCGCAAAGGGTTACACGAGAACATAGCATCTTTAGGTACCAGGTTAGCAGAACCAAAACTTCAAGATCTACAGCATTTACAGATTTCAACATTCAGGATTTTGCCAGTGACATTTGTCTTCAGTTTTTGGATTCCAAATTTTGAAATTGGCTTCTTTTTATTGGCCAAACCAAAGTGGCTAAGCTTTGCTGCCTTCCCTATGTTGCTATACTCCCAACTTCCATCATCCCTGACAACTTACCATGCTGGCTAGGAAAGATGAGAGTTGGATTCTGACAACATTTAGAGGTTTCCCGCTACTAAGCTGAACAATTTAGGATTAAATTCATGAAATTTAAATTATATGGCAATTGTCGGACACAACCACCTATTGCAAGTCAGCTGTCAAATACTGTTAAGTGCTGCTAATGACTGGAACACAACCAGTAGAGCTTCCAGGTTAGGAAACCCAATAGTATTGATCAGTAGGTAATTCAGCATCCCCTGACCTGGAAGTTGAGCCTGAGATGAAATTTTCAGGTGGACCAACCCTGTATGAAATCTTCATTGCTATGGGCTGTTCCTTTGTACTGTTCTCATTTGCCCAGAGCAGACAGTGCACAATTTGAACATTCAGGCAGTGCCAGATGACCTGTTTCTTCAGCATTTATTCTGATTTGTTTACAGGGAGGCTAGAAGATGTTGCGTCAAAGCAAGTGTTGCCTCACACTTTCCACTGCATTTCTCCACGACTTTCCTTTTTGCAGAAAGTCTGAACTTTTTGTTGTGCAAGACCTCCTGGTCAGCTTTCATTGGGAACTGGGAACTTACAATGAAAACCATGGCGGCCTGGGAACACCCTGAATGTATTATCCCGTGCCTCACAACTATATACAGTGGTACCTCAGGTTACATACGCTTCAGGTTACAGACTCCGCTAACCCAGAAATAGTGCTTCAGGTACTTGCTTCAGGATGAGAACAGAAATCGTGCTCCAGCAGCGCGGCAGCAGTGGGAGGCCCCCCCCCCTAGCTAAAGTGGTGCTTCAGGTTAAGAACAGTTTCAGGTTAAGTACGGACCTCCGGAACGAATTAAGTACTTAACCCGAGGTACCACAGTACAATAGGAAGATTAGCATAGTTTAGGGTTTGCACATGCTTGGGTTCACATATGTGTCTGCATGCGCACGAACACATGCTCCTGTGCCTGCCTTATTGTCGCCAGGGCCTACGTTCCCTTCTCAGCCACGCACCTCCTCTATCAGCCATGCACATAAAGCCATCTCACCTTGCAAGTGACTGCCTGCATGATAGCGTCAAAGCCCCCTTCAGCCGGGTCCATGTTCCCAGATATACGCTGCTGGCTGACCCTGCTTTCGAACTCGCTGGCGTTGTCTGTGAGCGTCAGCACGTGCTGGTAGCTGAACGCCGACTGACAGGTCTCGTTTAAGTGAGGGCAGGGGTGCTGCCATTTGGAGGGTGCTGTGTTCACATAGGGCAGCACCATCTTGTCAACAAAGGAGCCAAACCCTGCAACAAAAAAATCCTGCTGTTTACCGTCATCTAACAGTGTGTTTGAAAGCCCATGCGGTGTCAAAAAGGGTCGGAAATAGGACTTGGGAAGGTTCAGATCCACCACTCAGGCCATGATGGGCCGATCGCCATATCTCTCTCTTTTAAAATTACGGTAAAAAGGTAAAGGTACCCCTGCCCATACGGGCCAGTCTTGACAGACTCTAGGGTTGTGCGCCCATCTCACTCAAGAGGCCGGGGGCCAGCACTGTCCGGAGACACTTCCGGGTCACGGGGCCAGCGTGACAAGCTGCATCTGGCGAGCCAGCGCAGCACACGGAAACGCCGTTTACCTTCCCGCTGGTAAGCGGTCCCTATTTATCTACTTGCACCCGGGGGTGCTTTCGAACTGCTAGGTTGGCAGGTGCTGGGACCGAGCAACGGGAGCGCACCCCGCCGCGGGGATTCGAACCGCCAACCTTTCGATCGGCAAGCCCTAGGCGCTGAGGCTTTTACCCACAGCGCCACCCGCGTCCCTCAAAATAACGGTAGTTTTCCTTTATTACTCACAAGTACACCTCTGCATCATAACTTTACATCTTACAACTATACATATTCGTGTTTTCGAAGTATGTTCATAATTATTATTATTATAGATCGGCAAGCATTACTGTACACAAAGAAGAAGAAAAAAGATGTAATTTTGAAATCATAATATTCCTCATAAATAAGTGACTTCCCGTCTCTTCCGTTTTGTACTAATAAACTTATTGCCTATATTTATCCATTATCTTTTTATTTATAGTATTTTCTTACGTATCAATTTTCCTTTTAAAATTGTTATCCACAAAAACTACTGTATTTTCTGGCGTATAAGACTACTTTTTAACCCAGGAAAATCTTCTCAAAAGTCAGGGATCGTCTTATACGCCGGCTACAGCAGCAGCTCCTGCAGCAACTCCCCACCAAAGGATAAAACGACAGCAAATTAAATGAGAGGACACCAAGCTCTCTAGATGAAGCAGAAATACGCTTGAAAATTGGCCCCAGAAGCCCCTGGCCACTGGGAAGTGGAGCGGATTTCTGAGCCGGACTGGAGACTGGTTTTTTAAAATTTTTATTTGGTGTGTGTTGGAAGAGGGGTAGTCTTATACAGCGAGTATATCTCAAACTCTATATTTTAACTGGAAAAGTTGGGGGGTCGTCTTATACGCCCAGTAGGCTTATACGCCGGAAAATACGGTACTCAAAGGCCGTCACCGTTTTCAGACTGCAGCAATTACTCTTCAAGTGTTCCTTAAAACAGTTCCAATTTGAGACAAACTCCTTTTGGGATTTATCTTTGATTCTTTCTGATAAGTAGTCTAACTCCGCGTACTCTATTAGCTTTTGTATCCAATCAGATGTGGTGGGTATATATCTGCTTTTCCAATGTGTAGCTATTATAACCCTCACAGCTGTGGTGGCATACAGAAAGATTTTCCTTGGTTTGTTTTAGGATATCCAAACTGATCGCCATCTCTCAGCCTAACCCACCTCCCAGCCCTGCAACTGCCACCATCACCACCGCATACCGATCTTCACTGAAGTGGTGACGTCACGTAGGGCAGCTAGCAGATGGTTCCCCAGCCGCTTGATGTTCTCCAGGTCGTCCTTCATGGAGTACGACAGGTCCATGAGATAGTACAGGTCCACGGGGTAACCTTCAGCCCGTCTGAAGCGCACCGTGACCCTCTGTTCCTCTCCTGTATGCACAGAGTAGGAAGGAAGAGGGAATCGAATCCTCAGTGCTACCAAGATACCGTCCGTATGCTTTCCAATGTTGTGAAGGAGTGCTGAGTCTCATTTTAGCCAGGGACTGGGAACCTGGGGAGTCCCCAGTGCTTGTTAGGTTACAACTCTCGACATCCATCATCATGGGCTGTCTGGGGCTGATGGGGGCAGGAGTCTAACAGCAACACCCAGAAGGCCACAGGGTCCCTCCGACCCTGTTTTCAGATCACTAGGCCAAGGCCGTTCTCAATGTACCTCTTCCGTCAGAGATGTACGCAAGCTATTAACAGAAGCAAGTGTCTCCCTTGTGCCAGCACTACAATCTTTTAGATACTAGGCAAAACATTTTTCTTCAGCCAGATTTTAAATGGATTTTTTTACCAATTTAATTGGAGAGGTTTTAGCCTATTATGAGCCATTTGCTTGCTTCCTCTCCCTCAGCGCCCCCTCCCCCCCGGCAGTGTTTATTTTATGCTGTGTATCACCCTGATACACGAGGAACACGGGTGGTGCTGTGGGTTAAACCACAGAGCCTAGGGCTTGCTGATCAGAAGGTCGACGGTTCGAATCCCCGCGACGGGGTGAGCTCCCGTTGCTTGGTCCCTGCTCCGGCCAACCTAGCAGTTCGAAAGCACGCCAAAGTGCAAGTAGATAAATAGGTACCGCTCCGGCGGGAAGGTAAACAGCGTTTCCGTGTGCTGCTCTGGTTCGCCAGAAGCGGCTTAGTCATGCTAGCCACATGACCCGGAAGCTGTATGCCAGCTCCCTCAGCCAATAAAGCGAGATGAGCACCGCAACCCCAGAGTCGGTCATGACTGGACCTAATGGTCAGGGGTCCCTTTACCTTTATCACCCTGAAATCCAGTATGATTAAAGTCTTTTAAATAAATAGAAATGTAATTTACAATTCCCACATCAGATCATGGTTTGGACATGTCCAAACCATGAACTCACTTCCAAAAAAGCGGAAGGACTACAGTGTTCCAAGTAATTCCTAACAGCATGATCACCACCAACAACATATATGCAATAATGAATGGGCATGTCCTTCTTATATCCAAAGCCCATTCTTTCCCTCAAAGGATTCTGGGCATTGTAGTTTGTAAAGGGTCACTTGCAATTGTAACTCTGTGGCGTGTAAACTATAGTGCCCAGAATTCTCTGAGGGAAAGAATGTGTTTCAAATGTGCTTTAATGCTATGGTGCGTATGAAGCCACAGATATGCAATGGACAGGAAAAAATAAACATCGTTTTGGGAGACTACAACTGCTATATTGTTTTAAACTGTTTTCAATATTGTGTTTGAATTGTTTTAACCTGTCCTGGGACCTTACGGTGAAGTGCGGGTAATTAATAATAATAATAAATGATGAGTGCCTTGCATAAAGATTATATCCAACTCACATCAATAACACAAATTGCTGAAGGTTTGCCTATTTACTGTTGTGCTGGTGGCCCTAATGCCGTTTCGAGTCACAGGAAACAACTGAGGGATACACAACCCGAACTGGCAAAAGGAAGGCTGGAGAAAGCTGTGTGGATTCACGATTCTTTATTTCTTCCACATACATCGTATTGGTGAAGGAGGGAGGTCAGGAGAAGTTTAATCGAAGCTGGCCATTGCTCTGCCTTTGGATGCTGACCCAAGACAGGGAGCAAGTGCAGATTTCACAGGAGGAGAGAGGAGGAAGACAGTGCTTCTCCCTGAAGCATCCCTGCCAAACAGCCATCTCTCCCAGAATATTATTGAGAATGAGAATATTCTCTGCTAGAAAATTCTCCGGAGAACATTCTCTACAAACTGCATATTCTAATGTAATAACTAGTTTTACAACCCACATTTTAAAAATTGAGTAAATTATAAGTCAAGCTGTGATGTTGCCAGTGTAAGTAATAATTATTTTTTTGATCCAGTTACATTACTGGGCATTGTGTCATTCACCATCGGCAGTCTGAAATGTAAGCTACAGAAAACATCCCCCCCCCTAGATTTTAAAAATGCTATTCATTTAATTTGATGAACATTTTTATATTCCTTTTTCTTTAAAAGCTACATTTCATATATACACAACATAATTCGAATTCAAAGTTGATGGTAAATATACGGATAGTGGCAGGCTCAGTGATTAAAGTGAGTCATTCACGTTGAATTTTCAATTTCAAGTTTGGTGCAAAAAAAAAAATCTAAGAATGTGAATTCACTGCACTGCCCCATTGAGTAAAAGAATCTGTACAATTTTTGGTTGCCATCTGAACAAGTTAACCCATGAACAAACATGTATATTAACTAATTATATCATTATATCATTTTCAATGCATGAAAATGAGTATTCTCCTATTTTAAACGAAAATTCTCTAATATTCTCATTGATTGAGAATATTCTCGAGAATATTATTCTCAAGAATTTAACATCACTATCTCCCACCCACCCCAACACAACCCAAACTGGCAGAAGGCAGGCTGGAGGGAGGACCTACCAGGCCGAAGCTGAAGAGCAATTCTTTGCGGGGCAAGCTGAGTGAAGCTCTGGCGCTGGGTGCTGTTGCTCAGGGGCCTGTCCTCCAGCACACGCTGCCGGCTGTGCGGATCCATTATCTCACTGGGGAGGCAGCCACGACGCTCCAGCTCCACCCGAGGGGCACAGCGCTCCATGTCTGACTCACCTGCTTGCACAAAATCCTGGAGGGAGGGGGGGAATGGGAAGCGGACAAGTTTCCAGCATTGCTTCCATGCACACACATCCTCCTTTTGGAGGGGGAGGCGAGAAAGAACATATGGGAACAGGCATTGGAGCAAAGAGGACTCTCTCCAAATGGTCACAAAAATGCATGGAACGCAGGGCAACTGATTCCTGACCATCGAACATGTTGACTGGGACTGATGGGAGTTGGGAGTCCAGCGCATACCGTATTTTTCGCTCTATAAGACGCACCTAGTTTTTAGAGGAGGAAACAAGCAACGCAAAGCCTCTTGAGCAAAGAGGCAGGAGTGCTCCCTCTTTGCTCAAGAGGCTTTGCATGGCTATTCCCGAAGCCAGAAGAGCAAGAGGAATAGGTGCACACCAATCCCTCTTGCTCTTCTGGCTTCTGGGATAGCTGCGCAGCCTCTTCAGGGCAGCGGGATGAAGGTTCCCCCTGCCCCGAAGAGGCTGCGCGCGGCTAAGCCAGAAGCTAGAACAGCGAATGGGAGCACTGTGCAGCGATTCCTCTTGCTGTTCTAGCTTCTGGGATAGCTGCGCAGCCTGCATTCGCTCCATAAGACGCACACACATTTCCCCTTACTTTTTAGGAGGGAAAAGGTGCATCTTATAGAGCGAAACATACGGTAATGTAAAAGAAGAATGGGGCATCTATGGCCCTCCAAAAAGTTGCCGAATCTCAGTCAACATAGCCAATGGTGAGGGGTGATGGGAACTGTAGTCTAGCAAGATCTGGAAGGCCACAGGTTCCCCATTCCCAAAACTTTCAAAAAAGTATGGTTTACATTTTTAAAATTCAATTATATATTCATAGCAATGTCTCAGTAAATTGGTTTTCGCTCCATGGTTGTGAGTGGCATACTTACACCTTTGTCATGGCTGGACCATTTCCCGGGGACGTTTGACCCGTAGGGGTGCTAGGGGACCAATCTGTTATCCCATTCCCTGGCAGACTTATGGTATCCGAGGGATTCCTGAATGCCCTGGGGATTTTCTGGCCAGTAAGACGGATGCTCATGCCAAGGACCTAATCTTACTACGGAATAGCAAGAAAATCAATGGGATCACTCCTCTGATGCTGTAGAGCTCAGGGTTTTCCAGTGAACTTCAGACAATGAAGCAGGCTGGGCGACAGCTGGAGCACGTCATAAATCTTGTAACAAAGCCAGCCAAACACAGGCTGGAGCACATGGCGGTGGCCAAAATGCGGTGGTGGCGAAGAAAAATGACTACTCAGCCACCACTGCAACCAGCATGGCTCCTCAGAGTGATCAAGGAACTAGTGAAACCTGGGTCGGAATCTGTAACTTCTTAACCCTCCGAGACTTGCTGCAACTAGCTTGCAAGGGATTTGTTCATCTTCACTCTCCCTTTGAAACTGTTGTTAGTACGATTTCAGAAGATCTGTCCAGAACCAGTGGTACAAAATAGTATGGTAAACAGCCTTACTAGAAAAATTAACCAATAAACTGAAACTGACACGGGGACAAACAGAAGAAGACACCTTTACCCCGGTATGGCTCCCCTTTATCACATACACAGCCCAACAAGACAATGACAATTATCCACCAACAGCATACAAATCAATATGGCTAACCTGATCCAAAACACCCACCCACCCCACTCACACACGAAAACAAAGACCACCACAGCCAGCCACAAATGAATAACCACACCCTAGGCCAACCCCAACCTCTCTCACCACCAAAGGAACACAAGAGAACAGTGGAGAACCTGCACAAGCAACGCTGACACCAAACCCCACATACATTAAGCAAAATAGAAACATCGCCCCCCACCTCCACCCATCTTCAGCCCTCTCTCCCTTTTCTTCCTAATGTCTCAACAAATGAAACTGATTTGTAAAAATGTTACATGGAAAAAATACAAGAGAGACATTACACATACTTCTGTAAATCAAGAAAATCTTTAATAATAATTTTAAAAAGATGCATCCAGAAAACCATCTACTTCTTTTGTTTAGGATCAATGGCGGTTTTAACAGCCTGACAGCACATGAAATCGAGTACTGCCAAATGCTTGCTCTTTCAGCCTTTGCCCAATGTAGCTTATTAGAGCTTGACGGCAGAGAGGAAGAGAAGAGTTTGGATTTGATATCCCGCTTTATCACTACCCGAAGAAGTCTCAAAGCGGCTAACATTCTCCTTTCCCTTCCTCCCCCACAACAAACACTCTGTGAGGTGAGTGGGGCTGAGAGACTTCAGAGAAGTGTGACTAGCCCAAGGTCACCCAGCAGCTGCATGTGGAGGAGCGGGGAAGCGAACCCAGTTCACCAGATTATGAGTCTACTGCTCTTAACCACTACACCACACTGGCTCTCAAACTAACCTCTCTCAGAGGTTACTTTGGTTGGTACAGGAATGGCAAATGCCTCATAGTGGATGGCCCCACCTGCTGTGAAAGCCGTGGTGGTGCCCCCCCCCCCATTGGGGATCTCCCTATATTACTGTACTCAATATGCATACTACCGAATCACACTTTTATCACAGTCGTCATCAACCGTCGTCCACCTGCTTAGGAGCACATGGCAATGAAGGAACCACCATTGTCTCGTGTGGCACTGGAGGAGCTCCTCTGCAGTAAAAGCAACAACGGCTAGACCCCTTCCCCCCCCCCTACTCTTCTCCCAACCCACTACCAAAATTGACCAAACATGCAGAAAGGCAGCCGCCATCGCCTTATCAGTTGAGCGGCAGTGGTTTCCTGTTTTATAGGTGAAAAACTGCAGGCCCGAATGCCGCTTTGTCTTTGAAGTGCTGTTGCAGCCAGATAAACGATTTACCCCCCTACCCATCCTGTGGGGTGCTGAGATCAGTCTCTTTTCCACACACACCATTGGACAGAAAGTGCAAAGCACATCTCAGGCTATCAGGGACACCATTCCGGCAGCTGCCCAGGCTCACGCCCCTTCTAGTGGGCGCAATGCCCACCCCTCAGAGCCTGCTGGTCCTGATAGTCGTCCTCCTCCTCCTTCCTGCAGTCATTGTTCTGCTCACCTGCCCTCTCTACTCATGCAAGCAGCGACAAGGAAGAAGATGGAACAGTGTGTACAGTACTGGCAGCCCCACTTCAAACAGGGAAAGCTTCAGAAAAGGGCAAGCAAAAAGATCAGGTGGGTCTGGCATCTCCATGAGGAGAAGTTGTAGCATTTAGGGGTGTTTATTGGAGGTTTATGGGACACGGGTGGCGCTGTGGGTTCAACCACAGAGCCTAGGACTTGCTGATCAGAAGGTCGGCGGTTCGAATCCCTGTGACAGGGTGAGCTCCCGTTGCTCGGTCCCTGCTCCTGCCAACCTAGCAGTTCGAAAGCACCTCAAAGTGCAAGTAGATAAATAGGTACCGCTCCGGCGGGAAGGTAAACAGCATTTCCGTGCGCTGCTCTGGTTCGCCAGAAGCGGCTTAGTCATGCTGGCCACATGACCCGGAAGCCGTACGCCGGCTCCCTCGGCCAATAAAGCGAGATGAGCGCCGCAACCCCAGAGTCGGCCATGACTGGACCTAATGGTCCCCTTTACCTTATTGGAGTAAGAGGTAACACAATAGTGGCTTACAAAGTTGTGGCCCAAGATAAAGATAAAGAACCGTAAGAAGAAAGGAGGACAGGGAGGAGGCCTTGAAGTTAGGCCATCAATAGTTAGCAGCACCCTAAACAGCAGCCTGGGCAGAAACAGGAGCCACCTTGTGGCAACACCCACCCAGTGAGATGTGGCATATTCCTTTTAAAATTACAGTAATTATTCCATAATTTGCATGAACTTAGTATATGCAAATGCTATGCAAATCTGCATCTTGTATGGGGTGGGCAGGGTGAGGCATTCTCTCCTTTTTTACTGATGCATACATGGCCAAATTGGAAGTGAGAGCTGGACCATAAAGAAGGCTGATCGCCGAAGAATTGACGCTTTTGAATTATGGTGCTGGAGGAGACTCTTGAGAGTCCCATGGACTGCAAGAAGATTAAACTTATCCATTCCGAAGGAAATCAACCCTGAGTGCTCACTGGAAGGACAGATCCTGAAGCTGAGGCTCCAGTACTTTGACCACCTCATGAGAAGAGAAGACTCCCTGGAAAAGACTCTGATGTTGGGAAAGATGGAGGGCGCAAGGAGAAGGGGACGACGGAGGACGAGATGGTTGGACAGTGTTCTCGAAGCTACAAACATGAGCCTGACCAAACTGCGGGAGGCAGTGGAAGACAGGAGTGCCTGGCGTGCTCTGGTCCATGGGGTCATGAAGAGTCGGACACGACTAAACAACAACAACACATGCCCAAATGTGCAGCATGTGCAGCAAAGTTAGTCCTGTGCCTACCTTTCTTTTAGGAAACTGGTTCCTTTTAGAAACAAAACCGTGAAGATCAGAAAAGCCTGAGAGATCCAGGAGAGGGTTTATCATTAAACCAATTTTAATGGTTTTAAATCTACGTCTGATCGAAGGATCTCTCTCTCTCTCACCACCCTCAATGCGCCGTCGCTGTTAAAAACCCACAAGGCAATTTACAGTAACGAAAGTGGCAAGGCATGTGCGCACATGTACAATTCATAAAAATTAAGCCTGAACGCAAACATCTGGGCAGGATGTGGTGAGCGACTCTTTCCCTCATGGCTAGCAGGGCACCTGGCTGGCTTTCCGGCACTGGGAGGATGAACAGTGGGTAGTGAGAGTAATAGTTATTTTCAAGGAAGTGTGGTTTTGGTGTTTGGGGTTTTTTGAGGGGGTGGTACTGGGTGTGGGGGCCCAGCTCTACAGGGTAGGAGGGTGGAAGGGCACGGGGCCATTATCATTTCAGCAAAGAGGGTTCTGGGAAAGATTTCCTGAGACAAGGTGAGGTCTTTCCCCCTCCCCAGATGAGACTCGCCAAGCCTGCCATGTTAAGAGAGAGCCAGGGCTACGGGTGATGTCAGCGGAGGGATATTATTACAGTTTTATGGCCTGCTGCCCTGTGGGCGGACAGGAAACGGTTGTCTAAATGCTAAAATGCGTACACTGATCCTGTTAGGAAGTGATATGTTGGGTCCTCATCAGCTGCCTTGTGAACGTGAGGTAGGACAGTCAGTTACAGAGAGTATCATCGTAAGACTTAGTGATGCTATGGGAGCCAATGTACTAAACGAACTTCTTTTCTGTCTCTCTCTCTCTCTCTCTCTCTCTCTCTCTCTCTCTCTCACACACACACACACACACACACACACACACAATTCTACCATCTGTCCCAGAAGGAAGCTGTGCTCCCTAATTCTCTCCTACTCTGTCTCTGTACACACACACACACACACACACACACACACACACACACAGCTCTGTACGTGCTCAGAGGCACTCTTTATATCATTATATGGGATATATTCCTTCACATCTGCTTCTTTAAAGAAGGGGCTTCAAGAGCCTCAAATTTCCAGAGTGCTGCTGGTTTAGATTCTTGCTGACTCAGTACACGACCTTCTCTTGCACAGTTTAAGAGAAAGTCTGTGCGAGAGAAACCACAGTGAAAGGACAAGGGGTGAGTCAGAGGCCAGGCTGGTAGCTTCCCACCTCCAGATGCTGCCACCTTCAAGGAAATGTTTCGCCTCTTTTGCCAACGGGCACAACTGCTTGGACCGGGAGAATTATCCTGTGCATATCCAGTCCAAAATGTTTGCCTGTCAACCCACCAAGGCTTGCGGATCAAGCAAGGAGGAGGAGGTTGCAAGACAGGAAAGTGGGAACAGGCTTCAGATGGCTCAAGCAAGCAAGTCAAGTTTGCTGCCACATATCAGGTGGTGGGGTGGTCAGAATTTCCCCCCACCAGCTGGCTGGAGAAAAGGGTGCCGCTGGACATGCACAGAGTACCTTTGTGTCAGTACTAAAGGAATAAAAGCCACATGATTGGGCGTTTCAAGTCCTGAGTAGTCAGTCCACCCACCCAATGCTTTAAATAAAACACATTAACAGCAAATTAAGCTCTGAGGTGCCAACCCTGGGAAAAATGATTCCTTGGTCCCCCAAAAGATATGCTAGAGTTAGACTGAGGAAAAAGGAAAATGACACAGGCTTCTGTGATACTCACCAGTTGTTTGCACCAGGCACAGCTGGGATGGGAACGGATGCACTCGTGGCAGGAGGGATGAGGCTGGCATGAACCTGCAAAGGAAACACAGGTGGGCTATTGCCAGATTTCTGCCTGCAATCTCTCTCTCTCCCCCCACTGTCCTCTGCTGAGACACCTGACAGTCCCCAGGCAGTCTGGTTGGCCAGTTGGTTCTATCTCCTCTTCCAAACCCATTGTTGGGAAGCTGCTAAACCTCATGAACACGCAGTCAGACACAATCCCCAAGCACAGGACAATAAGGCTGAAATCCCCTCCCTCACTTAAGTGCTAGTAAGCTCCATTGAATACAATGGAGATTAATTCTGATTACTATTATTATTTAATTTATATACCACTTTTATGCCGAAATGACTTCTAACTGTACAGTTAATTAGCCACTCTGAGCCCGGCTTCGGCTGGGGAGGGCGGAATATAAATAAAAATTTATTATTATTATTATTAATCCACAATTAAAATGCTCAACAACATTAGGGGGTTAGTCATACTTACCTTTCCTCTGCTCTTTCTATCGCACCCCCCTTTCCCCCTTTTTCTTTTTTCTTTGGAGCTTTCCCTGCAGAAACCCGTTCTTTAAAGCTCAATCAGAGCAAACAGCAATTAGCTGAAAACCCGAATTTACCGTATTTTTCGCCCTATAGGACGCACCGTCCCATAAGGCGCACCTAGTTTTTTTGGGGGGAAATAAAGGAAAAAAATTATTTTCCCCCCCCAGGCGCAGGGCTGGGGCGGGGGAAGACCAAGCTTCCCCCGACCCCAGCCCCCAAACAGGCAGCTCTCTGCAAGCCGTGGGAGCGCTCCCGCTGCTTGCAGAGAGGTCCGCAAAGCCTGGACGCGCTGAGCTCAGTGCGCGCAGGCTTCAGCATGCAGGCAACTCTCTGCAAGCAGTGGGGCTCCCGCTGCTTGCGGAGAGGTGTGCGAAGCCTGGAGAGCATGAGGGGTCGGTGCGCACTGACCCCTCTCGCTCTCCAGGCTTCAGCGAAAGCCTGCATTTGCCCCATAGGACGCACACACATTTCCCCTTCATTTTTGGAGGGGAAAAAGTGTGTCCTATAGGGTGAAAAATACGGTATGTTTGCTTCATTTGAGCAGTAAAAAAACTGCTCAGACACAGAGCTTTTAAGCATGGACCAGTGCCTGGAATGAGTGGGCCAAATGGTAAGTGTAGTTAATCCCTAAGACATCTCAAATTAAAATGTACAATAAAACAGTTAAAAAGCATAACAATCAAAGCAGTAAAAACAAGCCACAAGTTCAAATTAGGGGAACCCTTGCTTAAAAATTTTGCTGGAGCCTTTTGTATTTCAGCAGGGAAGGCATTCAACAACACTGGTGTCACCACTGAAAAGGCCCTGTCTCCATGTTACCACAAGTAGATTATCATCAGGCCATGGCAAAACCAACCAGATTCCATTAGCTGATTGCAGGCAGTGAAGAGGAATATGGTTTTTCAGGTAACCTGGTCCAGATTTACTTAGTGTGCAAGTCGCAGTGCCTGAAAACTGGCTTGGTGGCTAACAGGCAGCTAGCACGGATCCCTCACACTAGTATATCTGCCTGAGAAGAAGCCCCACTCACCACTGGGGCTGCAACCAGCTGCAGTCTCTGGACCAAAGACACAGAGGGTACCTTCCAACATTTCTCCAATGAAAATAGGGACGTCTTAAGGAAAAGTGGGACATTTTTGGATCAAATCAGAATCCAGGACGGCTTCTGAAAATCCAGGACCTTTCCTGGAAAACAGGGACACTCGGAGGGTCTGCTGCACTGCCAGCTAAAAGGTTGAAACTCTGACACTCTCCCCCTCTCCACATGTGCAAAACCCATCTCTCCACTTTACCTGTATCCAGCATCTTCTCTGCATGTACCATTGTAAGGAGAATAAACAGAAGCCACAGTCTCACAGTCCATCCAGTGGGAAGCATAGCCTGGTAAGCAAGATTAAAAAGCAGAGTGGGGTTGTTAGGGGAACTGGAGAAGGAGATGCTGTTCTCTTCCTCCTGTACAGAAAAGGATAGCTGGATTACTGTTGGGCGAAGGGCGGGGGCAGTATTGTGGGCACGAGTGGAGCCTAAGTCCCGTGGTGGTTGAGCATATGCTATGCATGTTGTACAAGGTCCCAGGTTCAATCTGTAGATCTCTGGGAATCCAAAGGATCCGGGCGCTACCAAGTGATATGGAAGACCTCTGCCTGGGGTCCCTGGAGAGCTGCCACCAATCAGAGTAGACAATAAAAAGATAAAGGGGGCCCCAGACCATTGGGTCCAGTAGTGGCCGACTCTGGGGTTGCGGCGCTCATCTTGCTTTACTGGCCAAGGGAGCCAGCGTACAGCTTCCGGGTCATGTGGCCAGCATGACTAAGCCGCTTCTGGCGAACCAGAGCAGCGCACGGAAACGCCGTTTACCTTCCCAACGGAGCGGTACCTATTTATCTACTTGCACTTTGACATGCTTTCGAACTGCTAGGTTGGCAGGAGCAGGGACCGAGCAACGGGAGCTCACCCTGTCGCGGGGATTCGAACCGCCGACCTTCTGATCGGCAAGTCCTTTTTTTTTTTTTTTAATTTTTATTGGTTTTACAAAGTTTTAAAGACAAACAAACACTTAAAAAAAAAGAAAAAAACAAAAAACATACAAACACGCATAATTTCATATTGTTTCTCATAACCCTCTTTTCTCAGACTCCCCCATACCCCCCCCTTTCTGCATCCCAATGTCCATAGTTTTATAGCAACTCCCAATATTACTTTCCAACCTCTGTCCTTAGTTATCTCTATAATCTGACCTTATATCACTGTATCCCTTTGTTTCTGAAAACCATAACATTCTAACATTCATCAAGTTTATAATAGTCCTTAAGATAACTTTTAAATTTTCTCCATTCTTCTTCCGCCGTCTCTTTTCCTTGGTCACGTATTCTGCCTGTCATCTCAGCCAATGACATATAGTCCATCATTTTCATCTGCCATTCTTCCAGAGTGGGTAAATCTTGTGTCTTCCAATACTTTGCGATAAGTATTCTTGCTGCTGTTGTAGCGTACATAAAAAAAGTTCTATCCCTCTTTGGCACCAATTGGCCGACAATGCCCAAGAGAAAGGCCTCTGGTTTTTTAGAGAAGGTACTTTTAAGTACCTTTTTCATTTCATTATAGATCATTTCCCAGAAGGCCTTAATCTTCGGGCATGTCCACCGAAGATGATAGAAGGTACCTTCAGTCTCTTTACATTTCCAACATTTGTTATCGGGCAAATGGTAAATTTTTGCAAGCTTGGCTGGGGTCATGTACCACCTGTAAATCATTTTCATTATGTTTTCTCTTAAGGCATTACATGCCGTAAACTTAACACCGGTGGTCCATAACTGTTCCCAGTCAGCAAACATAATGTCATGACCAATATCTTGTGCCCATTTAATCATAGCTGATTTCACCGTTTCATCCTGTGTATTCCATTTCAACAACAAGTTATACATTCTTGATAAATTCTTAGTAATGGGTTCTAGCAGTTCAATCTCTAGTTTTGATTTTTCCACCTGAAAGCCAATTTTCCTGTCCTGTTTGAAAAGCTCCATTATTTGATAATATTGAAGCCAGTTTTGTACTTTATGTTTCAATTTGTCATAGCTTTGTAATTTCCACTTATCTCCATCCTGTTCCAAAATTTCCCAATACTTCGGCCATCCGACCTCCATATTGAGTTTCTTTACTGCTTTAGCCTCGACTGGTGACACCCATCTAGGGGTTTTGTTTTCCAACAGATCTTTATATCTCATCCATACATTAAACAATGCTTTTCTAACAATGTGATTTTTAAAGGCACTATGCTGCTTAATTTTGTCATACCATAGATATGCATGCCAACCAAAAACATTATTAAAACCTTCCAGATCCAAGATGTCTGTGTTCTCGAGGAGCTGAAGGAACTGATCGGCAAGTCCTAGGCTCTGTGGTTTAACCGACAGTGCCACCCGCGTACCATGGAGTAGACAATACTGGATATTTATATATATATGCATCCCACACTTCCTCCCAAAGGAGCCGAAGGCAGCAAACACATCAGTAAGTAAAAAGGTAAAGGTACCCCTGCCCGTTCGGGCCAGTCTTGCCAGACTCTAGGGTTGTGCGCTCATCTCACTCTATAGGCCGGGAGCCAGCGCTGTCCACAGACACTTCCGGGTCACGTGGCCAGCGTGACAAGCTGCATCTGGCGAGCCAGCGCAGCACACAGAACGCCGTTTACCTTCCCGCTGGTAAGCGGTCCCTATTTATCTACTTGCACCCGGAGGTGCTTTCAAACTGCTAGGTTGGCAGGCGCTGGGACCGAACGACGGGAGCGCACCCCGCCGCGGGGATTCGAACCGCCGACCTTTCGATCGGCAAGTCCTAGGCGCTGAGGCTTTTACCCACAGCGCCACCAGCGTCCCTTAAACACATCAGTAAGAAACATCTAAAAACAATCAACGTTTGGAAGTGTTGGGTGGCTGGACAGACAAATAAAGTGGCCACAAGATATAAGGAAGCTTCCAAGATTCCTATGAATGTTGGTTCTACAGCTGAGTCCAATGACCCTCCCACACATAAGGCTTATATCTGTGCCACCGTCACTTTTTAACGCAACAGTGGAACTGTAGCCTGCATTTATAACATTGGCACATGAGGTCTGCCACGTGAGAAGCTGGACTGTGACCACAGCTTCAGGATGGCTGGGCATATTAACCTGAAACAGAGGTGTATTCAGAGGCATACCTAAGGCTTGGTGAAACCAGCCCCCAGCAGGGGTGCAGACCCAGAGGGGTGTGCGTTCAAAAATCACCCCAGAAATCTGTCTCCAGTTATCTGTGAGAGTATTATAGACAAGAGCTGTATTATATGTATTATAGACAAGAGCTGTATGGGAAAGCGCCCTATTAGAAAAGTTGACCAACAAACAAGCTAGCACGGGGACAAGCAAAATTGGAAGCCTTCCCCTCAGTACGGTTCGCCTTTATCCAGTGTTTTTTTCTGGGGGGGGGGCGTAGGGGTACACATACCCCCTAAACATTTTGTGAATCTTTGTGCTTTTGTCCATTTACTGTAGTTATTTTTCCTGATCTGAACTATAAAATGGTAATTTTTCTGGAGTCAAAATGAGAGTACGCCCTAAACATTTTTAAAGAAAAAAAGCACTTTCTTTATCACCAGGCATAGGCAAACACGGCCCCCCAGATGTTTTAGGACTACAACTCCCATCATCCCTGACCACTGGTCCTGTTAGCTAGGGATGATGGCTAAAAACATCAAAAACATCTGGAGGGCCGAGTTTGCCTATGCCTGCTTTATCACATACATAGCCACAACCGATCCCCGCCCCCCCCCACCAGCAGCATACAAATCAATATGGCTAACCTGACCCCACAACCTAGCCCCTTTACAAACAAGCCACACTGCAATCAACTGAACACAGCCAAGCAGGTTCGGGGGACCCCCCCCCCAAAAAAAAACCCTACGCTAAGACTTTAGGCAAGAGAATGAAAGAACAATAACCTCCCAATCTCCCTTCCTTTCTTTTTCCGCAACTGCAAGACGTCTGTGACAAAAAAAGTGTCTCTCGCTAAATGTAAATGAACTGTGAAAAAGACTATGAATTGGAAGTGGAGACAATAGATGTACCTTTCCCTGCATCTGTTTTGTAACACACACAAAAATCCTTAATAAAAACTATTTTAAAAAGAAAAGAAAAAGCTGAGTAGGAAAGCTGAGCAGTAGGAGAAGTGGCAAGAAGGTTTGAGACTGGCGTGCATGACGCAAATATGTGCATATACAACGTTGCTGTCGTGGTGAGATCAAATGTGGGAGAATCTTCCTGTGCTTCTTGCAACGCTGCACAAAGACGTGCAATTTTTTCCCACCCTTCCATCTTGCATCACCCTCAATGCAGACACTTCAAATACTTGGGTTGCGTAAAATTTTGTAATTTCTAATGTGGCTATTGCAGTAATGGGGGGGGGGGGTTAAGGGGTGGCACCAATACAGCTACTTGCCGAGAGCACAAGGGGTCCTAGGTTTGCCTCTGGGTATGTTGTGTCTTTAAAACTTCTCATTATGAAGCAAGATTTGGGGATCCCTTGCTCATAAAAGCACTCTCCCAAGACAGGTTATGTGTGCAAACCATTCGAGCAAAATACATGCTGGTATGACACATGTTTGCAATCTAAATCTGATCTAAATTCTGGAAAATTCTGCAAAGCTATGAAAAACAATGGCACTTCAAAACTTAATTGCCTTTCTGAGCAACACACTGTTTACAACTTGTGAGTAAAAACACACATTTCTACAGAAGACACTGTTTATGAGTAAAACCATGCCTTCAAAACAAGCGATGACCTCCATCTATTACACGGATTAGTCATTCTGTGCTGCCTGCTCAGAGATAAAGAAAGTTCGTGAAATCTTATTCTTTCACAATTTGACTCGGAGGTGGCGAAAGATAAAGAAACGGCAACCTGAACTATTCTAGCCGAAGCGTTCCTGGAGCATAGTGTTTGATTTCCACAGATACTTGAGGAAAAGATCTCAAACCTACCTTGAAGCTGACTTGGCTGCCAGTCACAACTGCTGGTGGCAAAGTTCTGCGGCAAGGGAGCTATGCACTCAGAGGCAGTGGAAGCCGTTCTCAGGCCAACTCCAGAATTTCAGAGGCTGTGCTTCCCCTCTAGAGGTAACCAAGGAACATCGAACCCTGCAAGATTATCTCAAGACAACCCCTCCCTTCCTGTGAAGAAAGGGCAAGCCCAACAGTATGCAGCTAGCTTGTTTCTGCCTCAGCTACAAAAATATATTGGGGAAAATAATCAACTACCTGCACTTTCAGAGAGGGTGCACAGAGGCAGCGTACTAATCTATCTCATGCACATCCCTGTGTGTCTCCACCCTCTGGAACTCAAGGCACGGGTTTTCCCAAGTGAATCGCCTTGATTCAAAGAACTGACCAGCCCCGGACCTGCTTAGTTTCAGCAAAGTGCCTTTGGACCAGAACTGAGGAACCTGTGCTACCCCCTCCAGATATTGTTAGGACTCCATCTCCCATCATCCCTGGTCATCATTGGCTGTGATAGATGGAGATGGTAGGAGTTGGAGTCAAGCAAGGTTCTGAAATAAAAAATTTAAGGTTATATATATCTATATATATATATTCATAAATGTGCTGGCCAGGCGCACACATGGATATGTGGACCACATGTCTGGAGCAGCCCAGGAAGACCGTCCTGAAACCATTTTGACTCCCAAACTGACCAAATGTTTTCTCTGCAAGGAGGGAGGGGGTGAGGGAACCTTCCCATTGTCTCAGGAATTGGGTAATCACCATCTCAGGAAAGGCAATCAGATAAGACATTATCAGATAACCTGGCAGACAGGAAAAACAACAACATTCAAATTTCTGTTATAGACCGCCTTTTCTGTGATGTAGGTGTGATGTTTGTGGGGGGTGGTCTTGGGTTACACCCCTTCTGTGATGTATGTATGATGTATGGAGGGGTGGTCTTGAGTTCCAGGGCAGGGAATTTAAAATGTCTATATAAGGGCAGGCACACCTTGGTTCTGGGTCCTCCTCCTTTCCTGCGTGTGAGGGGAGCACCCTGTTGCAACAGCGTCAATAAAGATCAGGCTTACTAGCGGCTTTGCTTCTCAATATCCTCTGGTTGGCCTCTGTTATTTTCTCTGACCGATGGAGAACCTACAAAGGACTCTCTAAGGGCTCTTGTGTCCCCCATAAGGGAATAAGGGCAGATTTTTGTTTATTGCAGTTCAGACCATGTCCTTAGATGTTCTTGAGCTGGGGAGATGGATGCTTTGGCATCCAAAGGAGCACATGGCTGGGAGCTTTTCTAACCTCTGTTGGCTGCCTGTACGCATGGGATGCATTGAATCCACTTCAATGGAGGGTATTTTGGGAAATGATGTATAATGAGATAAAAAAGGTGTTTGAAGTGATAACACATTCCAATGGTGGGCGGTGCCACAGGTAAAAGTGGGTGGAGCAAAGAATGCAATTTTTCACCTCTGTACAGTAAGCCAGTTTCTACAAGTAGCCCTTTCTGTGTGCAAGGAAGAAACACCATCAGATTTCAAGGACGCATTCTAGCCAAGCAAAAACACCCAACAGGGGTCAAATGCAGGGCTGGTGATGGGGTGTGTCTAGGGTTAAGGGGGAGTCCAACAGGCCAGATGGAGAGGACCGCATGGCCCCATTTCTCCCCCCAGGCCTGAGATTTCCACATTGTTATGTAGCTCAGCATATCATGAGGCTCAAAGCAAGGGTGTGGGTGTTTCATTCATCTAGGGTGGTGGTGGTGGAACCGTTCGGCTGGCTCAGTTTTGAGAAAAGCCCAACACCACCTCATGTCTCCATATAAACCAAATCAAACAAAAAGTTGCATAAATTTCCACTGTGTTGCTCTCCTTATAAGGACTTCTTTTGCCTGAGATCGACGCGTGGTTGCAAGATGCACCGCAATCAGTTCACATCTGCTGTTGCTGTGTAGCATCAGGCCCAACAAACAAAAGAACAAGCTCCCATGCAAGGAAGCCCAGAGTACAATAGAGTCCAGGGTTGCTTATCTCATGCATCTAATTTGCCCAATGTCAAAGAGGCTTTGCAGGTTTTCAGTGCTTCAAAAACCTGCAAAAGGTGTTTGGCCAGATAACTGTGCTGTTCCTTGCACGAGTGAAGAAAGCTGGGAAATAGTGTGAGCTAACAACCAATCTTTTCTTCAATTTTAACACAGAAGGCTTTCATCATGATCAACCTTCCAGCTTCTGCTAGTTCCCTCTCACATCTCCCACTTTCCGATACTCAAGTAGCATTAAATAACCCCTACGCCCACCATATAAAACTGTAGCTTACAAGAGAACAAAAACAAGCCGACAGAACAGCATGTACTGCATCTATAAGAAAAACAACAACAAAATGACACACACACACCAAATGACATCCAAGTCTATTCAGAATTGTTCTTCCCGTCCCTGTGGTGCCTTGTAGATCTTCTGATAACTTGTACCCCTCACCCCGTATGTGATTTATTGGCTGCAGCTCCAGGTCCCCATCACATTGCTGAGGTTGCCGAAAATCAGCTTGTTACTGTGCCCAGGGTTCAAGTTCCTCGATGTCACCTGTCCCTCCTAGATGGCTGGCCATGTGATGCTAACACAGTGCAGGGCTTCTACTTTAATTGCCCTTGTGGTCTTGCTGAGCAATCATAAATATGCACCTGGTCATTTGACTGCAATTGCTTTAAGTTCTTTTGAGCCTCTGCCATTATATGCCTTTTGTTTTCCTTTCAGTCTATCCAAATAAATAAAAAATAAAATAAAATAAACCTTTATTGTCACTACACCACCTGTGTGCAGTGAAATTAAACGAGCCCCCCCCCCCATACACTCAAGTCTTGTTCGCGCTCTGTGTGCTTGTCAGAAGTCAATTGCACCACTATTTTTTTGCATTCAGCAGCCCACGGATAAAAACTGTTCTTTAACCTGTTGGTGCGGCTGACTATACTTCTGTATCTCCTGCCCCCCTCGTTAGGAGATTAACGAGGTGCTAGCCAGGGTGTGAGTCGTCCCTAAGAATTTTCCTCTAGTGAACTCCGGGAACAGCCCATGATATCATATGCTGTATTCACCACCCTCTGTAGGGAGGCCCTGTCCGTGGCTGTCAAACCAGCGTACCACTTTCTATTGTGGCCCGGTAGAAGGAGATCGTCATTTTTGTTTGACATTGTTCTTTTGAAAGACCCTGAGGAAATGGAGTCTCTGTTGGGCCTTCCTAACCACCTGGGTTGTATTGATTTTCCAAGTGAGGTCCTCACTAAGGTAAACTCCCAGGAATTTAAAGGAAGAGACTCTCTCCACACACACACACACACACACACACACACACACACACACACCGATATACAATGGGGCTAGTTCCCCTCTCTTCCTCCGAAAGTCCAACACCATCTCCTTTGTCTTGCTGATATTTAGGTGCAAGTTGTTCTCTAGGCACCATGTGGAGACTTTTTGAACCTCCTCCCTATAGGCTGATTCATCTCCACCTGTAATGAGACCCATTATGGTGGTATCATCTGCAAATTTAAGAATTGCAGTGGATGGATCAAATGAAATACAGTCATATGTATACGAGTACAGGTAGGGACTCAGCACGCTTCACTGTGGAGTGCCAGTCCTGAGCTTCAGAGAGGTAGATGTAACAGGCCTAATCCTCACTATTTGTGTACGATCTCTCAGAAAGTCTTTAATCCAATCACAGATGGTAGGGGAAAGGTCCAGGTCCATCAGTTTTTTAATAAGAATGTCCGGAAGGATGGTATTAAAAGCCGAGCTATAATCAATAAACAGCATTTTGATATAATTCCCCGGTCTCTCCAGATGACTCATTGCAAGGTGAAAGGCTGTAGCTATGGCATCATCTGTTGATCTATTTCTCCTATAAGTGAACTGGTGTTCATCAAAATCCGGTGGAAAACATGTCCTGGTAGTTTATTGTTGTACATTGTTTTAATTGTTTGTTTTCCTTCTGTGACTGTGCCCCCAAGTGTGTTTTATAAGCTGGTTTCTGACCGTAATAAATGATCTATCTAAAACATGTCCTGAGGTGCTGAACATGTTTCCAGAAGCGTACTGCGTTATTCCTTCAGCCTCTGATAATTGGGCAACTCAAGGGTTGAATAACCCTTTCAAACAGAAGCTCAGCTTTTCCACGTTCCAGAGGAGATGCTCCATAATTCAGCAAAGCCGGTGATGGGCCAGTACCTGAATCCTGTTATTTCTTTACAACTTGTACTTCCATTTTCAACGAGACCATTCGACTGAGAATATTTGTGGCTTGATGTGATCTGAAGAAATCCCATAAACTTTGGAGAAGTTCTGAAACTCACAACAAGCCAAACTGAGGGCCATTATCTGTCCAAACCCCCTCAGAAATGCCATGCCAAGCAAAATAAATAAATAAATAAATAAATGACTATTTTCCCAATTCCCTGGGAAGCAGTGGTGTCCATTAGTAAAGCAACCTCTGGATATTAAGAAAATTAGTCCACAATCAGGGCATAGTGAGGATTTTTGCACATGCAAGCCAATATATTGGTCCAACTTTTGGTCCACGTCAAAATAGGTTATTAGATCACCAGCATGGGCTGTTTGGGCTGACAAGCAATGTATCCTTTCACAAGTGCTTCAATGTCACGATTAATTTGAGACCAGAACAATACATCAAATAAAACTTTTTAAACATTGTCTTTCCATTTAACTTCCAGTTCAGAGGCATTTGAGTCGCAGCTGATATTGCTCTCAATTCATATGCTCTTAATTTCACTTTCCTATTATCCCTGTAGCTTGGTTTCCTTTGTAGCAGGTATAGGCAAACTCCGGCCCTCCAGATGTTTGGGATTACAATTCCCACCATCCCTGACCATTGGTCCTGTTAGCTAGGGATGATGGGAATTCTAGCCCCAAACATCTGGAGGGCCAGAGTTTGCCTATGCCTGCTTTGTAGCATTGCTTTGCTTTCAGGAATCACATTTGTGCTCCAGTGTTTTGTTTAAAGTTCACTTTGCTGCCATTTATCTCTAACTTAATATTCCAGCCCTCTGGTGATATAGATCGTTGCAGAACTGCTTTCTTCCTGTGACACTGTGCACAGGTTGCAGTTTCTTCTTGCCACTAATTTTGTTTGCAGGCCCTAGCAAAGTGGCCCACCTTCAGCCATCTGCTGCATGTTTTTCCACCGGCCCTGCACTGCTGTGGGTGCATGCACATGGCCACATTTCCTGCAAACTTTGGCTTGCTGTTCCAAATAAGTCAAAACTAGGTTTTGAGTGGCTGCTAGAAGTCACAATCCACAAACTCAACAAAACTCTTTCCTTCAAACAAATAAACTGTACTCTCTTTTGCATGTGATTTCTTGCAACTCAGAAGATTTCAACTGCTTTTTGCTAAATTAAGGAAATTTCTAGCAATTTCCCAGTCAGTTTGCAATCCTGTTTCTTAGGCCAATCTGACCCCTTATTAGTCAGAAGTTTCATTATTATTTTCAGTGCTTTTTTCGGGGGGGGTGTGCAGGGGTATGGATATGGGATTGAGGGGATGGGGCGATATGGGATTAAGGGGGCAACTCCCATCTCTTGCGGGGGTGCAATTAGTGACAGCATCGTCCATTAAGAGTTTGGGTGTAATCTTCGATACCTCCCTCTCTAT